TACAAAAGTTCATTCCTTAATCTGATTCTATAGTCTTGTTAGTTGATTTACTCCTCATAATTCAAGAGAAAAACACAAAACAAATGACTTGTAACTTTCTATACACACAATGATGAAGAAAGTGTAAAAAAAATGGCTTTTTAAATCAACATCTTAAATTTATAAAATAAAAATATTATATAATTCGGAATTGTAAATTATTATAAATATTAACTCTGGAGAGTTCCATAAATAAAACAGAAGAAAGAGATGAATTGTCTATTTAGTTAAAAATTCAGATTAAATTACAGTTGGGAGAGATGAGGTCTTCCCAGATGCAAGGACCAATATTATTGGTTGAAACAACCATATCTTAAATTGTAATTGGTCCACGTCCTCGCGAGTGACATACTCGAACTTTCGAATGGCACTATAAAACGCGCAAAGAGACTCACCCTTCATCGTTTCAATAGAACTGCGACTTCCACATCAACCAACGAAGGAAAGAAAGGTGACGCCATGGCTGGCTCGTTTTCACGCGGGTCTCTGGTCCTTCTCGCCATTGTTTCCTTAGGTAATAACAATATTTCATCTCCTTTCAGTACCTCTGTCGTAATGTAACTAGATCTCGCTACGCTTCGATTTAACAGTTTTCACGCTTGTTTTGATCCCCGATTTTGATGGATCTGATGAGATCTTAACCCTATTTGGTTGACATTCTCATCATTTCGTTGCCATTTATTTTTCTATTTCATTTAAACTCGCTATTACTTAGAGGCTCAGTGTCAGTGGGTATTAGCATGCCTCTCGCTTTATCTGAGAAATTCGTTAACAATGATTATTAGAAATGTAATTTGGCTACGTGCTTATGATTTAGTTTATTCTCTTCAAATCGAGATGATTATTTGATATTCCTCATCGTTGGTCACACAATGCTCGCGTTTTTTTTTTAATATTTTTGTGAGGCATGTTGCTTATTTGATACCGAGAATTGAAATTCATTTTCCTTTTACGCTTATTTTTGTTGCACGTGCAAATAATTGATTTTTTTATTTCTTTTAGAGTAATTTCTTTTGTCAAATGCAATTATGTGATGCACAAAACTTAGATACAATTCCTCAGGTGCTGTTTTGCTAATTTAAATTAGAGTTTTATTTTTATAAAAAATTGTATTTAATGTTATCTGATACAGCACTAAGAGAATAGTACATAAGTTTTGCCCTTGTGTGATTGAGTTTGTGATTAACGTTGAGAAAGTTCATCACAGGATGTCTGTTTGCGATTACCATCGCGAAAGAGGAGGCAACTAAGTTGGGCACGGTCATTGGGATAGACCTTGGAACAACCTATTCATGTGTTGGGGTTTACAAGAATGGCCATGTTGAAATCATAGCCAATGACCAAGGTAACCGTATCACCCCCTCATGGGTTGCTTTCACTGACAATGAGAGACTGATTGGGGAGGCTGCAAAGAATCAGGCAGCTGTCAACCCTGAAAGGACCATCTTTGATGTCAAGAGACTTATTGGAAGAAAGTAAGGCATCCACGGCTTGTTGGTTTATGACAATTTGATTTGAAGGGAATAAATAAAGGTGTCTGACTGAATGACATGAATCCATTTGCAGGTTTGAAGATAAGGAAGTCCAAAGAGACATGAAGCTCGTTCCTTACAAGATTGTCAACAAGGATGGAAAGCCTTACATACAGGTAAAGATAAAGGATGGTGAGACCAAGGTGTTCAGCCCTGAAGAAATCAGTGCCATGGTTCTGGTTAAGATGAAGGAAACTGCGGAAGCATTCCTTGGGAAGAAAATTCATGATGCTGTGGTCACTGTCCCTGGTAAGTGGAACAAATCACACAACCTATTTCTCCTTGATTTTTTTTCCTTCATGCTTTTGATTTTATACTAGTATCTCACATTTTTCTGTCAAATGTTCAGCTTACTTCAATGATGCTCAGAGGCAGGCCACCAAGGATGCTGGTGTCATTGCTGGTATGAATGTTGCTAGAATTATTAATGAACCCACTGCTGCTGCCATTGCATATGGATTGGACAAGAAAGGTGGAGAGAAGAACATTCTTGTCTTTGATCTTGGCGGTGGGACATTCGATGTCAGTATCTTGACAATTGATAATGGTGTTTTTGAGGTTCTTGCTACAAATGGAGATACTCATCTTGGAGGTCAGTATTCTCTCTCTCTCTCTCTCTCTCTCTCTCTTTATATATAAAGTATTATTTCTTTAAATTTTTCCTTCTGCTGCTAATGCCTTCTATTTCTTCCCTTTACCAGGTGAGGACTTTGATCAGAGAATAATGGAGTACTTTATTAAATTGATCAAGAAAAAGCATGGAAAGGATATTAGCAAGGACAACAGAGCTCTTGGCAAGCTGAGAAGAGAGAGCGAGCGTGCAAAGAGAGCTCTGAGCAGCCAGCACCAGGTCCGCGTGGAAATTGAATCACTTTTCGATGGTGTTGATTTCTCTGAGCCACTCACCCGAGCTCGGTTTGAGGAGTTGAACAACGACCTGTTCCGTAAGACAATGGGGCCTGTGAAGAAGGCAATGGAAGATGCTGGACTACAAAAGAATCAAATTGATGAAATTGTTCTTGTTGGTGGAAGCACAAGGATTCCAAAGGTACAGCAGCTTTTGAAGGACTACTTTGACGGAAAGGAGCCAAACAAGGGTGTCAACCCCGATGAAGCAGTTGCCTATGGTGCAGCAGTGCAAGGAAGCATTTTGAGTGGAGAGGGTGGTGAAGAAACCAAAGGTACCATAGTCTTTACTATCTTCTTTTCATTACAGTGGCCTGAATTTATAAATATTACTAATGCAAGTAGATTGCCAAGCCAAGCATTACACTTTCTTAATGTTATGTGGCACTCTGTATCCCAGATATCCTTCTCCTTGATGTGGCTCCCCTCACCCTTGGAATTGAAACCGTTGGTGGAGTGATGACAAAGTTGATTCCTAGAAATACTGTTATCCCTACCAAGAAATCTCAGGTTTTCACCACCTACCAGGATCAGCAGACTACCGTCTCCATTCAGGTACTCTCCGTCATTTGATTGCACCCTTGTAATGCTTGCCTCGATAGTAGATACTTAAAAGGGTTAAGCTCAATTGTGATGATATTTTTACTATTAGGTATTTGAAGGTGAGAGAAGTCTCACAAAGGATTGCCGTCTACTTGGGAAATTTGATCTGTCTGGAATTCCACCAGCTCCAAGGTTTGTTTCCTACTTTCATGATGGCAGTGTCCTATCCAAATATTAATCAATTGCTGTTTGTAATTCATTGGTATTTTATGTGGTAATTGATCAGAGGTACCCCCCAAATTGAAGTGACCTTCGAAGTCGACGCAAATGGCATTCTCAATGTCAAGGCAGAAGACAAGGGAACTGGTAAATCAGAAAAGATCACCATCACAAATGAAAAGGGACGCCTGAGCCAGGAGGAAATTGAGCGGATGGTTCGCGAAGCAGAAGAGTTTGCCGAGGAAGACAAGAAAGTCAAGGAAAGGATTGATGCTCGTAACAGTCTTGAAACCTACGTATACAACATGAAAAACCAGATCAGTGACAAAGACAAGCTCGCTGACAAGTTGGAGTCAGATGAGAAAGAGAAAATAGAGACCGCAGTGAAAGAAGCACTGGAATGGCTTGATGAAAACCAGAATGTGGAGAAAGAAGAATACGAGGAGAAGCTGAAAGAGGTTGAAGCCGTTTGCAACCCAATCATCACTGCTGTCTATCAGAGATCTGGTGGAGCCGCAGGTGGTGATGCATCAGGCGAGAATGATGATGATGATTCTCACGACGAGCTCTAGAGATATTTCCTCAAATTTGGTTTGTGCTGCTGCTTAAGATGGAGCAAGTTATGATGAGAAGTAGAGTAGGTTAAGCGGAGTCTTAAATTTTTATGACAGGTGGGGGTTGAGAAAAGTTCCCCCTGCGCTTGTATTTTTGGTGGCGAAGATACTTCATAGACAAATCACTTGTATTACTCTTTTTTTTTTAGTTTTTCAACAATACTTCAGCATTCTGTGTTTTATTTCTGTGCTTATGGGGCGCGTCTTGGGACTTTCCCCTTGTCTTGGGTTGGGACTTGGAAATTCCTCGCTAAATTGGTTGATCCTATGGTTGCCTCTCGTGACTTTCCCATGCGTCTGGAGTTCGAACTGGCTCAACTAATTTTGACCTATATTTTGCTACATTATACATATATATTTTTTAAAGAGTATATTTTTTTTTATCGCAAGAAAAAAATATATGAATTCGTGTTTGATCACTTGTTTGTCACATTATTATAGTATAAGTATTTTTTTAACTAAGAATGTTAGAGACATTTTTAAGTACGTGACGTCATATAATACATAGATAAAATAATTTTAAAGTAATTCTTTAAATTATTGTATAAGAAGAAAAAATGAAAATAATGATAAATCGAAATAAACATTGTTCGTTATGCATTTATCATATATATGACAAATTCAAATCCTCTGTTTTTCGGTACCTAATATTGCTTTCGTAATAAAATAGAATAAACAGCTAAAAGTATATATAAACTAAAATAATTTACTAAAGTTTTAGAAGCTTTTATATTTCGATATATTCACAAGTGGGCATGAATTTAGGAAAAGCTAAGATGATGTTATTTTTATTTTTAACTGATATATTTTTATTAATAATTATAAAAATAGTATACTTTTTTTATTTTTAATTAATTGTGTCTTAAAAATTCTTTAAAAAGTCATTTCAAAATTATTAATAAATATATCAACTAAAAATCAAAATGAAAAAAAAAACATTTCTCTAGTGCCCAAAATAAAATCACACAAAAGGAAACTATGGGCCACGGAACAAGGATCCAATATACATCCCCTTCGGTTTACAATATGCACTACAGAGTTTGCGTTTGACCAAGAATAGAACAACGTTGACCCAAAATAAAAACCCAAAAATAGAAAAAGGACCACAGACCCGCAGAGACAGAATGGCGATGACTAGTAATAGTAAATCGAGAAGAAAAATAAAAAAGGAGGGGCAACATAGTAATTTTAAAAATTCCCTGTTCTCCTCCTCTAACCCGAAAACAGCGTTTCCCTTGTTCCCGTGACGAAATTGAGATCTGATAGGACGGCAACGATGGAGAACAACGGTGGTCTCATATCGAAGGAGAAGATCGATCAGGTAGCTACCTGGGTCGGCTCCACCGTCTCTTCCGCTTTCTTCTCCTCGTTGGAACGCTTTTCCTGCGTCAACATCGCCACCTCTGACCCCGATAACGATGACGACGACGACGATTACTCCTCCACCACAACCACTCCTACCGCCGCCGCAACCACCACCACCACTGCCACCGCCAATCCCCCTTCCGCTCCAGTCAACGGCCACAAAACAAACGACGTCTCCAACCTCCCCGTTTGAGTCTCAACGACGTCGTTGCTGCGCTGTATAGACCTTTTCCTCCTTATCTGTGTCCGATTTCCATTTCTACAACTGCTCTGTCATGAAATTATATGCCTATTTACATATATATATAAATATGCTTAAATATTTCTATTAATTACATTTTATGATATTTCTCTAGCTTTTATGCTATTGTAAATTTTGAATTTGTTGGACAAGTCTTTGAGTCGTTGAAGACTTTCGTATTAATCCTGGATCTAATTGTAATGCTCAAGCGATGCAGTCGGATGGAGCACAATTTCTGAACTCTGTTTGCAAATTTTTGTGGCTAGCTAGATCTAAGTCTAATGGTGGGTTTGGTTGAGCGAGTGAGTTTTTACGTTGCTAAGAACCACTCACAGAAAATTCTGTACCCTGGTGATAATGGTTTTAATGTTAAGCAAATGAGATGAAATGTGTTGAAAGATGATGTGTGGGTCGGGACCTTCTGTAAATGTTTAGACTTATTGGATGGATGTAGAAAGATGTCTAAGTGATAAAGAAAGATATATCATTGCAGATTTGCAGTATTGCCTATTATTGCTTCGACATATCAAATAAATGTGTCAACACTACATAAGAACACTCATGGTTAAGATAAGGTTTAGTACTGTAGTTATTTACAGCTGGTATTGGTATACATTATGCCCCAAATCTTACTTAATAAGCTGGTGATAAGTCCTAGTTTCAATGCATTAGGGTGCCAACTAATTGCTTTGGTTTGGACTTGGAGCTGATGCCCAGTCCCTGATGAAATTTGCATACTCAACACTTTGGTTCTTGTGGGGAAAAAAATTATCAAGGACTTTTAATTTCTTTTAATATAGCCTAAAAAGTGATTTTATTTTCTTGTTATGTTTTCTGTAAAAATTTATGATGGCTATGATAGTATGCTGGGATGGAAAACCAAACGGAATGAAGCAGCTGGTATGGAGATTTATTTAACAGTGGGAATTATATGAGGGGTTTAGTGTTATACTTCCGAAAGCTAATATTCAATTACTCAGACATAAGAATTTTAATGCAGTAAATTCAAAATTCCTTTTATCAATATTTTCTATTAACACTAGGAGAGAGACTTGATAAAACAATTTAGCTGGTCTCACTTAATGTAATAAGGCGCTGTAATTGTTGTTTAGTATAAAACAATGACTTGTCAATTGTTGTTTGGTTTAGTCCAAAAAATTTATGAAGTCTGTACAAGAATATCTGCCATGGAAGTAGAATTGTAAAGTCAACTTCAGAGTGTGTATGATTTTCCATTAATACGAATTTCCAAGCATGTAAACGAAAAAGTAATAACTTGTTGCTTCCTATCAAACATGCAATAGGGCAAGAGGCTTTATCACCAATGGAAAACTAAACACAGATTTAGAGCTTATTTGGTGAACAAGATATGATAGAAAATGATAAGATATGAAAGTCGTATATGAACATGATAGGATAGGAGTATCCTAGGACTCTTATCTTATTTTACATTTGATGCTTATCAAAATATTAAATTAAATACATTCTGTTATCCTATCCTTTCTATTTCTAATCTAAGTTCCCTATCAGATAAAATTTACATTAGAGTTAGATATAATAAGTCTATAGAATAAACTTATATTTTGTTAGATAAACAAACATTAAAAATAAGAAAAGTTATTTTATCTTGTCTTAACTTTTTCACCGAATGGATTCTTAGTTTTAGAATGTGTTCAGAGGGTAAGATTTTCTGCACGGTTAATTCTTGTTAAATTTGATACTTTGTACTGAATCTAAGCTTAAGAAAGGTTGTGAAGTGGAGTGCCCTTTACTTTTTGGTTAGAGGGATGGTGGATATGGGTAATAAATATCTCTAATGGAGATGTTTAGCGCAATATGTTCCTAATATAGAGCATGCTTTCTAGGTTAAATCTTTCTTCTCTTCCCTGCTTGACTCTTTACATGTACTGATGGGTGGGTGAATTACTCACTCTGTATAGCCCCTATATGACAGATGTGTTGCTTTTGTAGTTGCAAATAATAACTTACAGAAAGCAAAAAATAATCATAGTAGATCAACACTATCATGTTCACTGCATAGGTGAAAAAACTTTTCTTCCTACGTAGCTTTTGACATTTACCGGCAGGTCAGCATGCAGTGCTTCTCTCTCTGGCAGACAATCCCTACCTGCTGCTTCTTTACCCCGAACCACTGCAGTATTATAACCAATTTATTTACCATCGAATTATACAACATGAACAATACAGTTAAGTGCTCTTGTGAGTATTTTACCGGTTTTACTGATCTCCATTCTCCTTCCAGCATAGAAGCATGACTATGCATCGTCGAATTATGTAAAGCTTCGCTCTCTTCTCCTTCAAAATTCTACTCTTTGTTGCCGGAAATTTGGCTTCATTTTCTGAAGATGTGAAATCTTCCATGACCTTGTTTCTTTTTTGCCTTCTACTTGCACCTGTTGGAATTCTTCTGCTGTGTTATGAGTTTAAGGAATTTCTCAGGTAGAAAGAAGTCTTTGTGTTTGTAGGAGTTACTTTAATTATGCTTCAGTTTGCTTTGAATTTGAAGTCAATGAAAGTGGTGAAAGTAAAGGCAAATAGTATTTCAAGTTAGCTTTCTGCGGTCAAACATAGAAGCTGATTTTGTGCTTGCAGTCGTGGTCTTGGGCTTCTCTGGTCTAACGTCCGGAATCCCAGGACTGCTGTCTTCTCTGCTCTGTTTCTCTATTTACTGTCAAAAGACAAATAAACTGCCTTGCCTCTTGGCCATGCATTAATTTTTATTAGAGAAGTATAAATGCTTAAGATTGACTCAGCGGGTCTCTCTTCGTCATGATGCTGTCAAACTTGTAAGAGAAACATACAAATAATTTATGGATCTTTGCACTCGGTGAGATTCTTGTCTCTCAAAAACCATTATGTTTTAAAACAAAATGTGAGGTATCAAAACTGAATCGAATGTCAGCAGAATCACCATTTTTTTGTTCCTCTTCTCATATTTAGACATGGAATTGTTTGTTGTCATGTTTTATTATTATTTTAAAGTTTTTTGAGATGTTTGATGCGAATACGTATGAATATTAACTCAGACCTAAGTGGGCGTGGGTAGTAATACTGTTTATCGGCACGAGAGAAAAAAATAATAATTAATAATGAAGCTTTAGGGATAGGTTTTATTCTTATCTTGTCATTATTTCGCTTTCTTTCGTATAAAAGTGTTCAGATTAAAAAAAGTGTGCAATTGCAGCAATAAATTGAAGTACAATTCAATATTTTTTGGCTGTGTCTTAATTATCCGTTTCGATTGAGGGAAACAGATTTAAGACTATGTAAGTCTCCGTTCCCGTTTGTGTTAAATAGACATCAATGGGTTAGATGGCCACTTGTGTCCTGTGTTACGTATATTTTAGTTTTCGTTCACGACATTGTCCAACACGAAGAGCACTTGAATTTCTTCGCCATTAGGATGCCTCCGATTAAGAAATGAATCAGAATTTTAGAGTTCTGAGAAGTTCAGTACGCAGGAATTCAAGAGATGAATAGACATTTAAGAGAGTCAAGCTCAATCGAAAGTCTTATCGTACGAGATAAGCCACTACTTGTCCGAAAAAATAGCCACTACTTTAGAGAATTTGTTCTATTTCAGTAACCTTCATTTCAATCGTGAAAGCGGATACAAGATTATGTCCATGATGGCATTCATTGTGTGGCAAAGCTTCTAGTGTTTGGTTAGAGTACAGAATTTATATGAAATAATGATCACCCTCAGGATTTGCTCAGATGAGAAAAAAACAAAATACAGATAAGGTAATGATGTTGTTTAGTTGAAGAGAAAATGGAAGAAAAGAAGAGATAAAAAATATTTTAAGAAGCAAAAAGAAAAAACTCCATTTTAAATTTCAATTTTTTGGTCTCTGATCATTTTCTTTCCTTCCAACCAAACGGAGAGTTAAGTGTGTGTGTGTGTATGTGTTGAATGAGGTTAGAGTGCATCATTTTTTTTTAATGAGATTGATATTATTGCACTTCTTTTTATATCATCCACGTTTCTCTAAAAAAGAAAAAAACGAATAATTTTTTTCCTATTGTTTTTCTTGTGCTGAATAAATTAATGAAATGATATTTTCAAGTCCCTGTGGAGAAGAGAGAGAGAGATGAAGGGGAATGCAGCGAGAGAACAATTAGGGTGTAATGGATAGATTATTATTTTGATTTATTTTACATGATAATGTTAATATACTAAAATTCAAGGGGGTCTATGCGATTTAAAAGAAAAGAAGAAAGGAAAGGAATGAAAAGAAAGATTTTAATCCTTTATATATATTTTTTTCTCTTTTCACATTATGTTTGAAAGAAAGGTAGAAATAAAATAAAAATACATTATTTCAGTAAGTATAAATAAAAAGAAAGAAATGAAAAGAAAAAACTCTTTAATCGGTTGAGTGAATAAAAAAAAATTAAAAAGGAAATAGACATTTTAAAAATGATATATCCTCACAATAAATTTATTTTTTAAGTTGAAATACAGTGTTAATGAGAAAATGCTAAAAGAAGTCATCGTTTGCAAACATGGATGTGTATTTTTTTTTATCTTCCATTCACCACTCACTACTCCTCTGTCCCCAAAACTTGGACAAATGGGTTACTTATCCAACCTCATAGCATTATCACTATGCTCTTTGTTCATGCTAATTGCATATTTGATGACAATATAGGCATCAAATCTTTAGATCGTCAAATTTACGGCTTTGATTTATCCTATCATATTATTCACTTTTCCACCTTAACAAGTATTTATTAAACATTTTCTAACAATTCTAAATTTTATTTTCTTTCATGAATTTTTTTCTCTTTATTTTCTCTTTATCCTTTTCAATCAAACAAATTGTGTTAAAGCCTGATTTCTAAACTAAAGAATAAATATTTATATACAAAACATTTTTCTACATATATTTTCTTCTTTATTTTCCTTAAGTCATAAGAGACATACCTCTACCTATCTATCAATCTAAAATCAAGTTTTTATCTCAATTTTTAAATTATAAAGTTGATACATAATTCAGAAATTTATTGAAATAAAAAAATGGCAATAAAAAATTTCAAAATTATTTTTTAATAAAAAAAGCATGAATAAATTTTTTTTAATCCATGTAATTCTCCCTAAAACCTCAGCATATTCATGTTTAAATTAATTTTTGTTGAAATTTGTAAAAATAAAATAAAATTAACGAGTAAACTATCAATTTAGTTTTTACTATTTTTAAGATTCATCAAAATAGTCCCTAAATGAAGTATAACATCATTCAAGTCTCTAACATATACAATTATTAATAGTTATTATAATTTTGAGAGTTCATAAAAATAGTCTCTAATTTAAATAAAATGTCATTTTAATTTTTAATGCATATAACTATTAATTATTTTAATCTTTAACCTATATAATTTTTAATCATTTGCCTATGTTACTTCTTTGGACATTAATTTTTCAAACAAATAAGATAAAAGGAAGTGTTTAATGATTATGTAAAAAATATTTAAATTCAATTTTCATAAAATTTAAGTTTAAAGATTTATTTATAAATCAAATTAATAATTTTTTGCAAATTAAATTTTAAAATATATCACTCTGTCATGTTGTCATCAAATGTTACATAATTAATTAACATTTAACATAAATTTATTTATTATTTATAATAACTAATATTAAAATAAAATTAAAATATTTGATAATTATATGAGAATAAAAATAAAACAATTGATAATTACGTGTATTAATAACTAAAATGATATTTTATTTACATCAGTAAGTATTTTAAATACTATCTTTGATTAATGTTATATAATAGCAAATGATAGTGCACTTAAAAGTTAACTTAGTGCGAGTGAGTCCACACAGAAAGCCTCTAAGGTAAAGGAAAAGTCAAGGTTCCATGCGTTGCATCAATCGCCGGCTTCCCCGATCGCTTTCTATTACAGGTTGTTTTCTTCTTCATAATCATAATCATTATCACTCTCTGTTTTGATTAATCACTACAATCTTACAAAAACCAACATTAGCATCACCTTGTAATATGGTGGAGGAGAATCTTTCATTCCGCACTCACAAACTGTACACACTCACATGCCTACTCTGCCTCTTAACTGTTACAGAATCACACTGTGGCAGTGACATGGCGTTGACGCCGTCAACGGCTCTCGTTTCCTTCCTTGAACGTCTCCAAGAAACCGCATTCGAAACCTTCGGTGACTCTAACTTCGATCCAAAGACCTACATGGACCTGCCTCTCAGGTTCACACTCGCCGTAACGGAACACGCGTTCCAGAACCTTCCAAGGACCGCTAACGGTTCCGTGTCGGTTGAGGAGTTGAACCGTTTTCTAGAAGCGCACTTCGAGGGTGCAGGGGATGATCTGGTGTACCACGAACCAGAGGATTTCGTTCCTCAGCCGAAGGGGTTTCTGGCGAAGGTGAAGCACCCTCAGGTGAGAGCGTGGGCGTTGGAGGTTCATTCGCTTTGGAAGAACTTGAGCAGGAAAGTATCCAGTGCGGTGAAGGTGCACCCGCAGTTGCATACTCTGCTTCCTCTCCCTGCTTCTTTAGTCATTCCTGGGTCGCGCTTTCGTGAGGTTTATTACTGGGATTCGTATTGGGTAATTAGGTTTGTTCGATGAATGACGTGTACTTTGCTTTGTGCTTTGTGGGTGTGGGTGGTTGTGCTTACTTGTGTTTTGTTTTGGGTTTCAGAGGCTTGTTGGTGAGTAAAATGTATAAGACTGCTAAGGCTATTGTTACGAATCTCATTTCCTTCATTGAAGAATATGGTTTTGTGCTTAATGGTGCTAGAGCATACTATACCAACAGGAGGTGTCCTGCTTTCCTATTTACTCTTGTTGCTCATATAGTTTTGCATTTTGGTGGATTCTCTTCTTTTAAAAAAGAATGTTTTTGGTTTATTTTTGAAAATATGAATTGCTCAAAGACCTTGTACTAATTTTTTTTTAAAAATGTTTGCTGAACGATTCACAATTATATATAATTAGTTTTTATTAGAAGCTAATAATAATATTAAATGACATTTTTTAAAATAAAAAATTATTATTTATTATCTTACTGTGTATCTCCAGAGATATATTTATAAAACGACAATAATTTTAAGGGTTGGTATTAACTCCCCCTTATTGTTGTGGCAGGGGGAATAAAATAGTATAAACTCTGGATTTTCCTACAAATCCTCGTACTTGTTAAACCGTAGAAATATTAAATATCTTTTTTTTATATTTTCAAGATATTAAATGTATTTTTTATTTAATAATTTCTTTTTAAAGTATTAGGTGGATTCATAAAAGGATATTGCATTACTCATGTCCTAACTTGGATTTTGTTTTGGGTGTGTGTACTTATGATGTATTTGCATACCCTTTCTTACAACATTTAACAATGTTTATCCTTTCATTCAAGTGGATACTGATCCTTTTGTGCAGTTTAAAAACAATTTATTTTTTCTGGCTTTATGGTTTAATATTTTGATCCTTTCATTGTAGCATGATTTTAATCTCGTCATTTCACCTTGATATTATCCATTTTCATATTTGCGCTGCATCTTTTGAAGTGAAAGGCAAATATTATGATAATTCTTGCTCTTGCATATAAAAAAGGTGACTATAAGCATTTCTATGATTTTATAGCCAGCCTCCCCTCTTAAGTGCTATGATCTATGAGATATACTGTCACACGGGTGATATAGAATTAGTTAAAAGATCCCTCCCTGCACTATTGAAAGAGTATGAGTTTTGGAATTCAGGTAATTATACCACCACTTTTGCCTCAATACTTTGTAATTTATTATTTGTGGTTGGATGATATTTGGACAGTGAATTATCGTCGAGGTTACCCTAGTCTGATGATTTTACCCTTTTTCTTATCCTGTAGACATACACAAAGTGACCATTTTGGATGCTCAAGGTTGCACTCACACTTTGAATCGTTATCATGCAATGTGGAACAAGCCCAGGCCAGAATCGTCCATAATGGTGTGTGGTTTGTTAACAACTGTGGTATTAATGAAATGACACCTAAAATATAACTTCGGGTAATTTTATGCCATAGGACAAGGTATCTGCATCCAAATTCTCGAATGTTTCAGAAAAACAACATTTTTATCGTGATTTGGCATCAGCAGCTGAATCCGGATGGGATTTCAGCACTAGATGGATGAGGTACTATTTTATATATGCTAGCATTTCTGACCAAAAAAATCATGAAAGTAATCTGAGTCTGTGACTAGGCATTGAGATGCAATTGTGTAACTGACGGTGTTGCTCCCAAGCCTCAAGACATTTTCCATCAAATGTTAACCTTTCTCAGAAGAACACACATTAGTTTGGTCCTTTAAGTACCCAACAATTCTTGCAACTCAATAGTTCTAAAATCACATCACATTTTGATGCAGAAACCCACCTGATTTCACAACAATAGCTACAACATCTGTAATTCCTGTTGATTTGAATACGTTTCTACTTGGGGTATGTCTTAGACGAATGACTAAAAGAAGACCCGAAATCTATGTCTGTAACTTATCAATTCTATGATGCACATTGGTTCAGATGGAACTTAATATTGCCTTCTTTGCAAAAGTTACTGGTGATAATAGCACTGCCAAACACTTTGTGGAAACTTCTGATCTTAGAAAGAAGGCAATGAACTCTGTTTTCTGGAATCCAAACATGAAACAATGGCTTGATTACTGGCTCAGCAATAGCACTTGTCAGGTATTTCCTGATGCCCCTTGTATAAATCTACCATAAGATAAGCTGTCTTAGCCTCCTTTAATTCTGCTGACTGTCTCTTTGATGCTTTTAGGAGGTTCAGGTTTGGAAAAACCTGCATCAGAATCAAAATGTATTTGCTTCCAATTTTGTTCCTTTGTGGTTGAAGCCATTTCATTCAGGTATACTTGATATGATATCCACATCAACTTCAGTAGCAAATAGCGAGTATATTTAAGGCATGACTGGTTGTTCCTAGCACAGTGGTATCAGTTTACTATTTGGGTACAATGCTTGTTATTTTCTAATCAGCATGCTTGAACATTATTTACTTGAGGTTGCCTTGATTACACACATTAATGCATAGAGAATCAGAAACTTAAGATCGACAAAAGTGTAAGGCTTACGATTAAACAGTCCAGAACTTTTTGTGGACTCTAATTTTCTTTTCAACTACAAGTTAACTAGTTGACATATTGATCTTGCATCCCAAGTTTTAAATTACCTATAGATTATTAAGTACTTCGATTGAATAGTTGGTCTTTAAACATATGGATAAAATGCTAAATAGGTTTAGATTAGCATGTAATTTGATGAAACATGATCTAAAATCTGTACAGAAGTGTAACATTAGTATTCGTCATTCATGTCATTAATTTAAATATGGAAGGAACTTCTATTGAATGAACACAGAATATGTTTTTGGCGAATTTTTGCTTTTGAAATTCTTTTTGCTTAATTTCAAACTAGTACCACTAACCAATAACTGAAAGTTATTTGAAAATTGGGAGATATTGATCACAAATAATGTATATAACCCTTAGTTAATGACATTACCTCTTTTTCTAAAACAATGAAAAAGAATTTCCTGCATTTAAAGTTGATGATTATTATGTTTTGTATGATTAATATGTTTTGTATTTATCTAGATACTTCGCTTGTGGGTAGTGTTGTTGAAAGTCTCAAAGCTTCTGGCCTGCTTCGTGCTGCTGGAGTTGCAACTTCTTTGACTGATTCAGGACAACAGTGGTAAGTAATAGGCAATTTGGATTTAACGCTTGTTAAAACGGGAAAACTTTTCTAAACATACCGGAAGCGGGAAAGGAGAGGCAGGGTGAGGGAGGGGAATACAGGTAAAATATTTCACTTAATCAGCCTTTGTTAATGGCTCTTGCATCCTTGTAATAGGGACTTTCCAAACGGGTGGGCCCCACTTCAACATATGCTAGTGGAGGGCCTTCTAAAATCAGGGTTGAAAGAAGCAAGGTCATTGGCTGAGGACATTGCCATCAGATGGATCACAACAAATTATATTGTTTACAAAAAAACGGGTGTGATGCATGAAAAGTTTGACGTGGAGCATTGTGGAGAATTTGGAGGTGGGGGTGAATATGTATCCCAGGTATGACTATAGTCTAGTATCTTTGTTTTTAGTCTGGTCTAGGGAAACGTCTGAGAAAAATATAACTTCTAAGTGACTAAGAAATTTGACTGATGATTTATTTATGGATTTGTTATTAGTCATCTTATTTCAAAGGGAAAAAGAAATAAATCAAATCGCTGCCATTTACCCGTTCAACCTGAATCTGACGGGTTGTATTAAAATGCAGACTGGTTTTGGCTGGTCGAATGGAGTTGTGTTGGCATTCTTGGAGGAGTTTGGATGGCCAGCAGATCGGAATATAGAATGCTGATGCTCTCAGATCAGAAATTGAAAGGTAGTTTGTTATTTACTCATGAAAGGCACTTGTTAAAGCAATAAAGCAGAGATGAAGTACAGCTTCGTTGCCATTTCCGATATTTGATATTTCCTCAGAAATATATCTAGAAAATTCATAAAATGTGGCGGAGGACGTCACGTATCAATGATGGGGCACAAATTGCTGCCCATTATTGGATTCCTTACATTGTAACTTCTGTTTGATGGCATGGATTCGACCATTTGATGGAAGTTTATTATATTATTGGACACAAATACTAATAAGCACTCTTAAATTACTAGTTAACAAAACAAAAACACAAAATCTATTATAATCTATCTAATATCTATATCTATTCTGTATATAACACGAAGTGCGAGCCATAGAACTCATGCCTGTCTCGACATTCTTTACTATTATGTCATATTAGCAATTTCAAATTATCTTTAATTTCTCATACAATTCTTACCCTCCCAGATTCCTAGAATGAAACTTTTTTTCAATTTCTTTTAACAGCAACATTATATTATGCCTGGTAATGCATTTGTTTCATGTTCTTTACTTTGTATTCCATTATTATCTACAATACCAACTTTGTATATCTTTAGCTTCATTGTTTCCAATTATTACTCCTTCAATAATGTCCTTTTAAGTATCTACTCCTCAATAACAATCATATTGTGCCAATGAATCAATTAGAAATCCCTCATCAAATAGCCCTAAGGCCATTATAAATCCTACTCAGACTCCCTTCGCTTTTTAGATTATTCGAAGGCATTTTTCGTAACGTTGTGCTTTTTTCATTCTTAGGAGTTTTTTTTTTTTTTTTCTCATTTTACCTTCTCAAAGCTTTTGTTAAGCTGATACATGATCATAGTTAGTGCTTTGGTGGGTTCCCAAGAGTCGTATGCATAGTTTAAAATTTTCAAAAGTCAATAACCTTCATAATCAATTTCAAATGTACTTTTGTTTGGTTAAGTGCTTTTCCTTACTAGTGCTTTTCTACTTTAAATTTCTACATTATAGTGACTACATCTATGCGTATGTTTCTTGGAATTCATTTCTTATTATTTAAATGATTTTTTAATATATGCTTAAGGAAACACAATAAAATTAAAAATAATATTTTTATTAAAAATTGTAATGTTCAATATTTTAAAATTAATTTTTATCAGAGTTGATTCTATCCAATTGTAAAACAAGCAGTTACTTCATGCTTCTTGACATATGTTGTAAGCAAAACCTATGTTATTAACAACACTGCCGTGTTACGCCTTAGTTGTTAAAGTTTTTATTGTTCGATCGATCGTTAGCTGTTAAACTGTTTTTTTTTTCGATCTATTAAAATATTTGGATTTTGGTCTATGATGTAGCAAACACAACACAAACAAAGTACACTTGGGCTCAATATCGTTTCTTACAAACTTACAATAAACAAAAATAAGCCCACCCTACGTGCAGATTATTTGACAGGCTTGGATTCTGCCGTAAAAAATCTGAACTCATCAACACAAAGTTTTCGTAAAACGTAATAAATAAATTTTAAAACTCAAAAGTTTCGAGTCTATCCATCCATATGTATTGTCACTAAGCCCTCTGATGATAAGGATAATTTGCTAACTTTTGTGTACAAATGTGTGTTGATGTACCAAACAAAGATGTGGTTGGTGCTATGTTATTTAGTTGTCAGGAGTAAGGTTACCTTTTATATTTTAGTGAAAATGTGATGAAATATAAGTATTTAGTGAAATTGAATTTGCAGGAACAAATTGGATTGGATTGGTTAGTGTCAAGTGGGTCGCACCTGGGCACTAGGTTCACTTTTTTTTTCCCTTCAAAGATACTACGTGTAGAACGTCCATGAAATGAAATATACAATAAGGTCATTAGTTATATATCAAGTTGCTTTCTTTTTAATGTGTCCGTTAACTTTCTCAATTTCGGTTCACGAGTCAGAAAACTTGATTTGCGTCTCTGGCATGTGTCACCAACCATTCCCTCCTTCCCCACAATCCTCTTTACTTTTTTGTTTCTTTTTCTTTTTTGGCATATATTGGTGGAGATTTGCCCAACCTCCCCCTTACCAATCAACAAATGTGAGCTATTATTCGGTATTCAAAGAATATATTAAATTAAAACGGTGGATGGATGATTAGTATCACTAAATCATTTTATAGTTTATTTAAATGTAGATTAAGAAACTAGAAAAGCTTAGTCCTAAAACCAAGGATGCGGGTCCTCCAAGATTCGACTCTAACACTGAAAAGAGTGGTAATCATTGATGAATCCTTGCATTCAAATGACGCCACTCAATAATGAAAACAAGCCAAATGTGTTTATGGGTCTTTATTATATATACATATAGCCACCCTAGAATGAGTGAGTGGGAAGTAATGGCAACAGATACAATTTAATATGCCATATAGTTAATGGAGTTTGCTTCTCCTGACTCGAGTCCCACAATTGGTTAGTCAAATAAAGATGGCTTGGAATCACTAATGATCCAAAGCAGTGCATAAACGGGAGGATATGATTGATGATTGTGGCTATTAAAAAAATCCATACAAAATCTAGGCCTTGATAGCATGGGTTGTGTTTATATGCAGGAGACAAATCAAAGAGAAAGCCACTTTTAGGTACAACTATTCAAGTTCTAACTAAGGTACTATCATCGATCCTTAATCCCATTAAGCATTTTTTAAACGATGATAAACTCTATGGTTTAATGACCAACCGCATATTTCTGTATAAGCAATTCTTTGCCTAATGGCTGTCCAATAATTGGTGATAACTCTTAGTTATTGCCATATTATACCCGAGAATATAATTAATTCCTGATATTGCATGCACAGCCTAGTTAATCCGATTATATTAGACCTTTTAAGCTCACAATTATTTATGATCACGAATCTTCAATTTATATTGGGGAGAACAAACTATATCCTTCCAACAACAACTGTAATAAAAGCGAGCAAGGTAGTATAAGTAGTTCTGGGCACTAAAATATATATTTTCAAGATTTATAAAAAAAATGTTGACCAATATCTTAAAAATACTGATTAAAAAAATAAAAATTATTTTACTAAAAATATATCAAATATTCACCTACTGTAATGTTCATTATATTCCTGAAATATATATACTGAAGATTTAAAATAAGTTTACCCAAGTTAACATGTGATAAAAACTTCAGCCTTTATATATTATGTTGTAGATGTATCTCAGACAAAATAAACACTTTCTAAGAAGTGGGTAATACACCCTTTTTCTCGAAAACACCATTTTTAAGTCTAAAACATTGCCTAAGTATTGTTCAAACTGCAAAGAAAAATAATGAAAAGTTTCTTTAAAATCTCTGAAAGATGCTTAGAGTGAGAGAAAATGAAAGCAACAAATCAAAAGAAGAAAAAAACATAATGAAAGAGAGAAGACAAGAGACCTGATGGGAAAGGAAGAGATGGAAGAGATGATTGAGGTCCTGAGGATGAGTAAAAGAGAACCTTTTACTCTTATAGTTTTTAAACCCATTTTTAAACCCATTTTTAAAAGTAAAGGACAGAAGACTACATTAATTTTTTTAAGAAAAAAAAGTGACTCTAAATAAAACAACATAGAGATTTATTTACAATTTGACTTATTTTTATTATTAAATATGGTAATAATTTAAAAAACAAGTGAGAGTTTGAACAAGAATGATTGACCAGGTAAGTTTTGCATCCCAAGAAAATGCTTGATTCGAGGATTGACCAATCTTTGTTAATGTTAAGGCACACTGAATTCTCAATCCTCACGTGCGAAGGGTTTCCTCTTTGACGATTCATACTTTTATCGACTTCCGTGTTTGTCTCTCTTTCCAATTCTCTCTCATTTATTAGGATTTCATCAATCAACCGACAATGCCCGTTACTCCATTCTTTTCCTTTTTTCTCATCTTTCTCATTTTTTAAAAGATAATTTAAACATTATTTGTTTTTATAAATTTATGTATGTGTTTTTATCCAATTTTAATTTGTTTTAATTTTTAAACTAGGTAAAACTCATATGTTATATGAAAATAATGCATTTTTTATTCTTTCATGGACGGTGATGAAGGTTAAAATAGTGAAAATTTGATCAGAGCAATCGACAAGATTTTATATATTTTGCAACAGATGAACAATGATCATTAAGAAGAAGGTGTTGAAGAGTTCCTTAAATGAAATAATGTCTGTTCCTAATTTCCAATTGTTAACTCAATTATGAAGTTGTTGGTAATAATACTTTCAGTCACGTACAGCTAAATAACTATTCATAAATAAAATAATAAATCATTATTCACATTATATAATATAAGTGGTCATGGTGTGAAAAATGAGAGTGGATTGATTTAACATGTATTGTCGACGTTAATTATGAAAAGTTAATACGATAATTACAGTGTCCAATTATCTCTCAACTTGACACATGTTCATTGACTGTGGAAATAAAGTTAATGGCGTATATTCTTTTACTTTTAGATATTCTTAAGTTAATGGCGTATCGTAACCACATTATCTTAGAATAGAGAGTAGTGCCAAGAAATTAAAAAGCACTATATCTCTTTGGTGTCTTTCCCTCGCACACAGATTCAGATGAAAGCGAAGCAAAAAGAAAAAGCTACGTCTGTAACATATGTAGATGCTGCATTTATTTTATCTACTATTTATTAAAATAAGTAGCCAAATTTATAACAAATTATTTTATAATAAAAAGATAAATGTTGACTAATAATACACAAATTTAAAACTAGAAATATAAAAAAGAGATGGTTATAAAAATGCAGTAAGGTAGCTTTTCCATTTGTGTAACCTTTAACCAGGTACCAATCTGTCTGTGGCAGTATCAAGCTCACGCTCCTTCTTTTCTCGCTCATCATTTTACCCTTTATCCTCATCTCTTTCTTCTGCACAGCACGTACCAATGACCTCTCTGTGAATGAGATTAATGCAGAACCGTATACAGCAGCAGCAGCGTGCCGCACTGTCTGCAAAACCTGACACCCAAAAAGACAACAACCTTTTACAACGCTTTCTCTGTCATCGCATCCACAATTACCATATTATAGTCAAACGCCTTCAACTTCTAAGTCAAGACACACAAGAGTAACCTCCACGCCAACAAACCCAACCATTTTGTTTTTTTTTTTTTTAATTTTCGTTCCTAAGAATAAGATGCTTGAGACGGTTAAATACCTCATCGGGTCAACGGGTCCGAGCGGGTTCGGGTCAAAATCCACCGCCGAACAAGTCACTGAAACCTTCGCCGATCTCCGCTCCATCACCGCCATCATTACCGGTAAATTTATCGACCAATTATTATTATCAATCATTAATATTAGATATAATGGGATTCAGTAATTATTATTATTATTATTATTATATATTTGTGTATCAGGCGCTACGTCTGGAATCGGAGCTGAAACGGCGCGTGTGTTGGCGAAGCGTGGGGCTCGGCTGGTGTTGCCGGCGCGTAGCATGAAAGCTGCGGAAGATGCAAAAGCTCGCATAGTGTCGGAGTGTCCTGCTTCGGAGATTATTGTGATGGCGCTTGATCTTAGTTCTCTCAATTCGGTTAGAAACTTCGTTGCTCGCTTCCACTCTCTCCGTTTGCCTCTCCACCTCCTCATGTATATATAATATACACTTCACTTTATGATTAATCTAATCTCAAAAATTAAAGAATCTTACTCATCCATGACCGTCATTAATTTCAATGATTATTAGAAACAATGCCGGAAAGTTTGCACATGAGCACGCTATATCCGAGGATGGAGTTGAAATGACATTCGCCACTAATTATTTGGGTAAGAAATAATTCAGTGTCACCTTTTTTTGTTTTTCTATGAGAAACGATTACAGTAGCAAAATATTGTAAAATTGTAGGGAATTAATCAAAGAAGGAATTTGTGTCAGGTCATTTTTTGTTAACAAAATTGTTACTGAACACGATGGTCGAAACGGCAAGGAATAGTCGGGTGCAGGGTCGGATTGTGAACGTGTCGTCTAGCATACACGGTTGGTTTTCCGGTGATGTGGTTCCATATCTGGCTCTTATAAGCAGCAATAAAAGGTGACAAGATTAATAACACTGTGAATTAATGTGATGACAACAATTCTAATTTTGAAATAAAAATAATGTTGTATATATTTAAATTATAGTTTGGTTTAAATGAATTATGAAATGATGTGATATGTTTGGCAAACATTGCACATCTCTTTGAATTGAAATTTGTCCCATGTTCCCCAGCCATTACGACGCCACACGTGCTTATGCTCTTTCGAAGCTCGCCAACGTTTTCCACACTAAGGAACTTGCTCGTAGACTCCAGGTAAACTCACGATTCATTGCTCTTTTATTATTTATTAATTAACTTTTTATATCTATCGATGTATGATCCTATCCATCTCAAAAAGTGACATTTGTTTGTTTCCCCAGTTCGTAATCAGTGATCATCAGTACTCATGTTTCCCCAGGATTTGGATTCTTTTAACCCCTTCTTGCTATTTTATTAGTTTATCATTTTTTTTATTTGTTTAACATAACATATTAATAAATTAATTAAACTTGTTCTATTTAATTTCTGCAGCTAATGGGGGCCAACGTGACTGTGAACTGTGTTCATCCCGGGATCGTCAGAACCAGACTCACCCGAGAGCGTGAGGGCTTGCTTACAGGTTGGAACCAAACAAGCCAACCTTGTTTTGGTTTGTCTTTTTTTCTGCCTTTTTGCTGATGCGTTTAGTTTTTTCTTTTGTTATTCTCTTTTACGATTGTATCCATTGACTTTGGGATTTTTATTTTCCTTTTATATTCTGAAATAAAATTGCAGATTTAGTATTCTTCTTGGCTTCCAAGCTCTTAAAGACGATTCCTCAGGTAACTATACTATATGATATGATATGCCTGTTTCATATACCCTATATGTATTTGATAATATCTTTCATTTTGTATCTTTTTTAACCTACTCAAGTTATTTCATAAGTTAAATAACCTCATTTTGACTTTATTGATTTATCCAATATAAAATTATTTACCTCGTACAGTAATATTTGGTTGAGTTTATTGTTGTCTAATTTAGTGCAAATAAAACGTAGGCAGCTGCAACAACATGTTATGTGGCAACCCATCCTAGGCTCTTCAATGTGTCCGGCAAGTACTTAGCTGACTGTAACGAAACTTGCACCTCAAAATTGGGATCCAACTCAACCGAAGCAGCAAGGTTATGGGCTGCTTCCGAATTCATGATTTCTAGGGGTCCAAAAGCAGCCTTTGACTTACTCAACCACCTTGAATTTTGAAGTTTCTTGGGACAGTGCAACAATTATATACAGAGAGAATTTTATTGGAAAAAGATACATAGGTCTGGAGAGAGCAGCTCGCATAGATGTTAATAGGAAGGGTTAGCTTTGATCTTATCTAGGGTATAATCATATCAATGTATAATTGTTCTGATAATTACTTAGGGTAAGTAAACTATAGGAATCTTGTTAGCTTTATTTTATTAATCGTTCAAGGTCTAAGATATGATTGCTTTAGATGCTCCTTAGATTGGATTGCTATGATGATACAATGATTATAGAGCTTGGGGTTATGTTACATGGAATATGGATCTTAGATTAGAAGTGAAAGTGCTTGGAAAACTCCAAATGTTCATATTCTTTTTTTCTTTATTCTTCTGTTTCTGTGATGTATCTGTACTTGTACACCTAGGAATAGTACAAATTATACGAGAAAGTTCCATTGGAGATATTATAAGCTAACAATAGGGCTTGTAAATCAAAGAAAATTGTTTTCATAAACAAAATATATATAAGTGGACAACAAGAACATGGGGTCGGGTTCCCGCATGTGGTGGTTGTTCTTCGAAGAGTATCTTTCTCATCTCATGGTTTTTGCGTGGGACCTACTAACATGCGCCCCGTGGAGGGAGAGAGTGTGCTTTTAAAGATAATTATTTTTACAATTAATTTTTGTTTAAAGTAATCTGATCCATTGACGAGTCATTGATCCCTCTTACTACTCACCAAATCATTTTAGGATCAACTCATTCACTAATATCATACTATTTTAAAAGCCTTGCTTAAAATACTGTGATTATTTAAGATTATGAGTATTTTCTTAAAGAGATTTTTTTTCTACACTCAATTTGAATTTACAACTTTATTTAAAGAAAAAAAATATTGTTTTTAATTTGAGGATTTATTATTATAAAAAGATGTAGTAGTGGACACATATCTATCTAATGTGGAAGATGGGTTTAGTTAGAAGGTGGAGCCATAGCTATAAGATTCTAAGGAAACTGACGAATAATAGTGATGGGTTTTGGGCAATTTTCTTTTCGCAAAATTTGTTACAAAAATAGTATTGGCATGGGTGTTAATTTCTTGATGGGGGAGTCCTCTTTGTTTCATCATTCCGTCTAATAACATTATTTAAATTTAGTTTATTTCTGATTCTGATCACATATTTTTTTCACTCTAATTTTACGTATTTTTATTTAAAATTATTTTTATGTATCTATATTGTACCATTTTTATTTCATCAATTATTCAGGTAAACATTATCACGAGAGCATACCCATTAACTATGGGTGCGATTATTGAAACTTTGTTAATCATTATCTTTTTTATACTTTTTGTACTGGGAAAGGAATCAACTCGGTTCCACCCTCAGGAAAAAGAAACCGAATACCTACTCGGCATACTGGGCCGGGTACCCCTCGTCAGGATTAAAAGGTAAATAATCCAATTAAAGATAATCAAAAATACTATGGGCCTCAATATAAAAATTGACTCAGGTCCATTAGCCCAATAGAATGTCTATAAAAAGAGAATAAGAAATACAGGTAAGTGGTTGACTTCTGATCATTAAATAATATTTATTGCTCAGAACCGAATCCTGACTTTATCATCGGAGTGCCTTTTGCAGGTATTCTCCCTATCAGCAAATCAGTAGAAAGACGCCTGATCAGAGGTTTGAAGACAGTTGTTTCGCCAGGAAGGAACATTTTGGCGCCCACCGTGGGGCCCAATCAACTTCATCACTCAGGATTAAGCATGGTAATGACGAGAAGCCAGCAGGAAGGGACTTCTAGGCAACAAATGGAGGGCGTCACGCCAGAGGAACTAGTACCGGAAGTGGTGATACAGGGAGGAACAGAAGAAAGCATCCTAGCTGTACTGAGGCAGCTAAGGGCAGAAATGGTGGAGATGAAGAAGGATCGCGAAAGAGATGCACTGGAACTCTCAGCCTACGAAGGGAAAATGCCGGCCTAAGGGAGGAAATAAGGACACACGTCCCCTCCCTTACTACCCCCGTCGTCCAAGATCAAGGAGAATCATCAGCGCTGCAAGAAAAATCAAGACAGGTATATCAATCGGTAACCGAAAATGACCGAGACGAACTTGTGAACCAGAGCCGGTTCATTCATCGCATTCTAGAAGCCAAGTTGCCCGATAATTGGAGAGGGTTGGTAATAGACAAATACGATGGCACATCCGACCCCGGAGAACATGTGGACATCTTTACAACGCAGGTCGGTCTGTACACAGAAAGCGACGCCTTATGGTGCAGAATCTTTCCTACTTCACTTCGAGGACCTGCGCTTAGTTGGTTCACCTGACTCCCCCCCTCTCCGTCGACTCGTTCGCAACTCTCACAAGACGTTTCAACTTGCAGTTCGCCACAAGCCGGCCCCATCCACTAACATCCTTGGCCCTAGTCAATATTCGCCAAGAGAAAGGAGAATCACTTAGAGCGTTCGTGGAACGCTTTGGTAAAGTGACTCTTTCAATTCATAATTTGGAACCATCAGTGGCTATGCACCACCTAACAACAGCGTTGAAGCCGGGACCTTTCGTTAATAGCCTCTGCAAAAAACCCTCGATCGACCTAGATGAGTTAAGGAGCCGGGCTGCAAAATATATGCAAATGGAAGAATTATCCGAATACCGGAGCCAGGTACGGATGAAACAAGGACCTAACTCAAAAAATGAAGAAATAAGGGAGACCTTTAAAACAAGGCGGGGGAACGACAGAGGAAAGGAACTTGAGCGACCACCTCGAGGACCGAAGTATCCCTCCTACACGACGCTCAACTCTAATCAGTCCAGAATACTTGATCAAGCGTTGGCCACAGAAATATTGAGAATGCCTAGACGCGCTAACACTCCTCCTCGGGCAGATAAAAGTAAGTCTTGCCAGTACCATCAGAACAAGGGTCACATTACCGAGGAGTGTACGGCGCTAAGAGACAAAATTGAAAAATTGATTAAAGGAGGACACCTGAAAAATTTCGTACAGACAGATCCCACAAGGCAATACAACAAAGGAGGACACCTCTTTGTTTCATCATTCCCTCTAATAACATTATTTAAATTTAGTTTATTTCTGATTCTGATCACCTATTTTTTTCACTCTAATTTTACGTATTTTTACTTAAAATTATTTTTATGTATCTATATTGAACCATTTTTATTTCATCAATTATTCAGGTAAACATTATCACGAGAGCATACCCATCAACTATGGGTGCGATTATTGAAACTTTGTTAATCATTGTCTTTTTCATACTTTTTGTACTGGGAAAGGAATCAACTCGGTTCCACCCTCAGAAAAAAGAAACCGAATACCTACTCGGCATACTGGGCCGGGTACCCCTCGTCAGGATTAAAAGGTAAATAATCCAATTAAAGATAATCAAAAATACTATGGGCCTCAATATAAAAATTGACTCAGGCCCATTAGCCCAATAAAATGTCTATAAAAAGAAGATAAGAAATACAGGTAAGTGGTTGACTTCTGATCATTAAATAACATTTATTGCTCAGAACCGAATCTTGACTTTATCATCGGAGTGCCTTTTGCAGGTATTCTCCCTATCAGCAAATCAGCAGAAGGACGTCTGATCAGAGATTTGAAGACAGTTGTTTTGCCAGGAAGGAACACTTTTAAATTTTTAATCTTTTTACTAAATTAATGTATAATACAAAAATGAATGTAACTATCAACCATTTGATGACCTTTTTTTTTAGGTTACAATTTGATGGCAGTTTAGTCTCATTTACATTGTTTTAGTTAGGTATTACTATAATATAAAAGATCGTTTAATTATAATTATTGAGTTGATATATACTTGATCATAACTATTTATTAATGTTTATATCTTCTAAAATATTAGCTTAAGTTTGACATATTGTTCATATGCTATTTATTTATCAGCAAAAAAATATATATATGCTATTTATTTTAATAATAATACCATTAAATGAAAACAACGTCCTCCAATCCACCCAAAAAAGCCTCTAAGATAATTGTGAGTTAAATGTTTTAATAAAATATTTGATAAATGAGTATTTTTAAATCTAAAAAGAACCAAAGATAAAAAAAAATTAATATTAAATTCAATAAAAATGAAAATATTAAATAAAAAAAGAGTATAGTAAAGATATTTTTGTTATTAATAATAAATAATTTATAATAAATTAAACATATCATAGTTTTACTTTCAGAATAAATTATGAAAATGAAATTCAAATTGCAATACTGCATCTATATCTATGAATTTAATAATATATCAAAATTAAATTGTTTAGATTATATTTAAATTAAGATTGATTAAATTTATAATAATACGAAAATAAACTTTATTTAAATAAATAATTTTCAATTTAGCAAATTTTTATGTAATTATAAATTTTAAAATTTAAATAAAGGTTAATTAAATGTAAGTATAATATAATATATGAAAGGAATAAAATTATTTTATATAAGAAAATTTATGCCACTTAATAAAAGAAGTACTAAAACTATCTTATTTTCCCCTCTTAGCTTTCACTCACGTGGATGGGTTACGTTGGTATATCCATTATCCAATGACAGCACGAATTGAGATCGCGTTATCCACATGACAACACCGATACATTCCATCAACATTAGCTCTCCCTGGCCCAACGTTTATTTGGGTATAGCCATGGCCCAATGTTAAAATAACAAAAATAAGCTTAAAATGATAATATAATACTATATTAGTGATTCCATTCAATACAAGAGTAAACCACTAACATAAGTATTACTTTTTTAACCAATTATCACCATTAACGTTTTTATTGCTGTATATAAACTTTTAAAAAAGTTACTTTAACTGTGTTTAATAAAAATAATGTATAACTTATTTAAGAGTTTATAGCTTAGTATTATTAATTATAAGAAATATAAAAATTTAAATTCAATTATATAATCATGATAATAAAAAAATTATTTTAAGTTAATTTTTCAGCTCAATTTTTTTGTATATGTTTAAATTCATGGGCTGTTTAGTTCAATTTATGAAATTGAATTACATGAAATAAAAGTCAAAATAAGATGATTTATACAAATATCATAAACTAGCATACATTTATGCATTTTATGCGTAGATTAAATAAACTTAACTCAACTTTTACCGAGCCCTTCTGAATTGCCCAATTCTCCTACTCTTATTTGTTTATTCGCCGTCAGCTGCAAGCAACGATTGCCTCATAGAACACAAATGCTTCGTAGGTCTTGTCAAGATCAAATTTCTTCATTTTAAACGAATATTAGTATTCGGTGGGCTATGCATTCATTAAAATTAACATTATTTTATTGATACTATTACTTATGAATTAAAATTTATTAACAATTATTAAAATAAAAGCAAGATTCATACATTTTTATTATATTTAATAAATTTCAACTAATAATAAAAATATATTTAGGAGAATATACTAAAAAAAAAGTAGTACCATTCTCGTAAAGTTAATTATCCTGCTCTGTAGCGTATTATTGTTTGCCCTAATTGGAATCATCACTACCATAGAGTTTCCATTCCAAGTTGGCATCATAGATAAGATAAAGCATAAACTTTTAGATTAGAGGCTAAGAGGAATGTGGTATTCACAAATATCTTTTCTACGTATACCTTAAAGAACATAAAACGAGTGGCTAAAAACAGTGTCATCCATTACGTTATATATAAGTCAAATTTTTCCAACCACATGTTCATTCTCTGTGTAACATTTATCTACTTTATGCAACTGATAACACAGCTTTCAGAAAACAATTATAACACACGAATTTCATGAAGATTATAAATGCTTGGGCCAAAAGGGGAAAAAAAAGGTGAAATGATTGTTCGTAAAGCTTTTGTGTAACAGAAAATAATGTTGGTGACAAAAAATAGCTAAGCATGTATGTTTACAACCATTCATCCAATCAGAATTTCCTTTTGAGTATTTTTTTTTCAGTCATTTCTATATACATACTTCTCTGGTTATATGAATAACAAATGGTTTCGTATAGTTATTTTTTAAAATTTAAACTATTTCAAATAAAATAAGGAAACTTTACCAAATTTAAAATGTTAATTGTAACTGTAACTGTAAGGCCACTATCATCACGTATAAATTTGGTTAATATATGACCATACATCTCAGTCAATTACTTGCCGTGGAGGAAAGACACTTTATTCTCAGGGTATGCATGTGTTTTAATGCCATAAAAGATTTATATAACGTAAATGAATTTCCAGTCAACAAAATATTTATGACCACAGTCTATACATATCGTGAGCTAAGGTTGAATTGAATGGAAATTTTGTAAATTATAGCAACATATTTGATAATTTTGCGTTTGAAAATTCACGTTTTCAAGTCCTAAAATAGAAATTCAGTTTTTCAGTGAGCCGCAAAAACAAAGACGGAAACAAAGATCCTTAACCTTTTATTAACTCATTTCACCCTTCAACAATTCAACAGTCAAACTTGAAGGAAGTATAGGGCAATAGAGTCATTATGCACTTTCCCACATTCAGGATGTGTAAACAAAACTTTAGTATAAACTAAAGTTGACTAAAATCTTCTGTATATACACATGATCATGAATTACAACTCTACCAGGACCATCAGCAAAAATGCTTCTTACATTCTATCAACCAACAGTCCTTAAAAATCAAAGAATCATAATATTGATATTGACTTTGTATAAAGAATATTATTACGTGAGGGCAATCCCCAATCAGCTACTGAAGAATTGCCCTGTCTACTATACTATTACACTTGCAAATGATGGAGCTTTGCATAATAGCAAATTCCATTGTATCCAAGAACCCTCTAATGCTATGGGAGCATAGCTACTACCTATAGAAAGGCTCAACAAATGAACCTCAAACTTGGTTTTAATTTAAACACGAACGGGTAATCCATAATTCTGGTACACTCTTATGTGTCCATCCCATCCTGCAGTTACAATTACTTGGCCCCATAAGTGAGAATTAGACATCCCCTTGCAAGCACTTCTCAAGAACTTGTACTCTGATTTACACATTGTTGGAGAAACAACAGTTTGACACGAGTCCACGAGCGCCTCCTCCGGCCAGGTAGCCGAAACCTTTGGGATTAACTCTGACAAAAATCCACGAGTCAAGAAGAAACAGTCAGGTGAAGAGAGAGATGACCTTTGATTCAAATCCTCTCCCAGTGATGGAGACAAAAGCGTTCCTGGCATTGACTCGATGCCGGACCAAGGTACAGCAATTGCTGCATTGTGTGACAGGAAACTCTCTGAAGACCAAATCTTCTTTGCTTTGGAAGTACTCCTATCCTGACCAGTGTAATTCCAGATACACACATTTGAGTCCTCACTAACCGAGACTATATGTTTCCCGTCGGTAGTGAAGGAAGCGTGATTCTGACCTGCACTTCTTGGGCCTGCAGGCAAAGAAGAGGAACAAGTTTTAAAAACAAAGTGTACTTTATTTACCTAAATGTACATAATTGCACGATAAAAATGAAAACTCAAGGTGAAATTCATTATAAAAGCAGATACTTGAAAAACCCCATAGATGTCCATATCAAGTACTCATTGCAGGTACTATAGGGGACACGCAGGAACACATAATATATATATATATATATATATATTAAATGCGTGTTTCTAATACTTATCCGACGCAGCATAAGCATAGATGAGATGCCCTTCGAAGATTTTTCAGATAAGGAAAGCATATATCAACCTACCCTTGAATTTGTAGATGACATCAACTCCAGAAAGTATACAGACATGTGAATCAGCAGAAGCAACCAATAGTTTGCTAGGGTCACTTGGTGAAAACTGCAAAAATATCATATAAGATTAATGATCACTATTAAAAAATTATGTAAAGGGTGGCACGGAAAAAAATTACAAAAGAGAAAAAGAGGAGGAGAAATAACCAACCTGAAAGCCAGTGATCCTCTTCCCTAGTGTCTTCTTTTTGCCTCGTAGACACACTTGAGCATCCAATTGCAGGTGATTATCTACAAAAGTGAATGTAAAAATATAAAAAAATGATTGTTAGAAACTACTACTTATAATCATTTTTGGGATCAATAGTTTAAACTTAGATATATTCTACACTACAAGCTTAATAAAACATCAAAATAATGAAGTAATCCATTATTTGACCATATGCACATCTACCTCCTAGTCACTCTGGGAAGTCTAACTCCATAATTTTATTTTATTTTTTATATAAAAGGAGAAATATATTAAGATGAAGAAAATAATATTACAGATGGAAAGGAGGATAAGAAATCCTCCTTAAAGAAGACAGAAGATTAAGTACACATCAAGGAATCATATACATTGATGGAGTAAAGCTACCCAATCCCTCAACATATCGGTAAGGGACAACCCTTTAAAAGGCCATGCTTTACTCGAAGTACTATTGGATCTAGAGGAAGGAGCTACTCAAAGTAATATTGCCCTGCTCGGTATGCTGACAAGCAGTTAAACTTAATTCCAATCCACAGGAGCAAGACTTGTATACATAAAGAACCCACAGGTCGTTCAACACTACACATAGAATGCAGACATGAATCAACAAACAAATAAACTAAATATATTTCCACTCAGCCATTTAATCAGCACCTACAATACTCTTTAAATAAAGGGGGAAAGAAAATCCTATAGTATATGATTCTCAATGTCTTAAAATTCTAACACAATTCCAAACATCTACCGAGCCAAATATGTGCCTACCTATGATTTCATAGAAACGGCAATTGCCTGCCATGGTACCCACAATTGTGCCCTGGAAGAAAGAGTAAAAAAAGAGTTTAGGAACAAAACAAACGATTTTTTTCTGCCACAATGTTTTAGAGTTAAATTAAATGTATAATAAAACAGACCTTCCCATCCGGGCGGAAGCACACAGCCGTGACTATCTCTCTGATATCAATGTAATCACTAACCCGGCAGTGAACAACTTCCCAGATGCGTACTTTTCCATCAATTGAACCACTGATGAAAAAATTATCATTGACGGGATTGAAATTTACACACGTCACTGCATCAAACGCAAAAGTAACAAGGTATTATTTAGCAAAACAACACAATACGGGAAAAGAAAAAATAAAGAGGAAAACAATTATAGTACAATCAACAGTGTCCAAATCATTTATCAACACACATAACGAACAAGATAAGGCAATAGAGGCTCACCATAATTATTGTGGGAGAAAACTCTAAGACATCTATCCATTCCTACATGCCATAGGCGCACTGTCTTATCAACAGATGATGACAGTAGAAACTGCAACAAACGTAAACACAAGTTAAGTTCCATTTAATAGAATAGAGCAGAATATAGAAAGACAAAGAAGAATAGCTTTTGATTCTCTAGGAACTAACCCCTCTTTTGGACCAAGCGAGGTCTAAAATGTCTCCACTGTGCCCTTGGAACTCATGCAAAGGTTTCCCTGATATGCGGAAGGTCTTTGGTGGGATAATCACACAGGTTGAATCAGAGGATCTCCTCAACTTCTCCGTTTTAACTAATTTCTCTTTATCTACATCAAGGGGAGCTACACATGAAAAATTATTTATTTTGAAATATATATTTGATGGATCATTGTCCAGAATGTCCAATTCACTTGATCTTTCATCCTCAACCACCTTCCACACACGCACAATTGCATCTTCACCACCACTAGCCAGATATTTTCCATCAAGACTGAACTTCATTGTTAAAATGACACCCTTGTGTGCTTTAAACTCTTGTTCGGTGTAAAGCGAGGAAAACTCCTTAAATCGCTTCCTATATGAATGTACTCGAACTCTCTGGATCCCATTTCTATCCATCGAATCATAGTCTTTGCAGTTAGTTTCATCAGCTCCTCGATTATGAACAAAACAAGCAATAGAATCCAGTTTCCTTAGCCAACTTCTCTTCATTTTCCTTTTTGCAACTCCCAACAACCTTGTGTTTTCATTATCTCTCTGCAAATGTCTGCGAACCAACGGTGACAACCCAATATTTCTCTGAAACTCATCCAAGCTAATCAATTGGTTGGAACCCAAAACACGCAGAGTACTAAGAGTTCCATCTTGACCAAGTTTATCCACAATATACTGTGTTCCATCATCTAAATTCTTTATCATACATGGCAAATCATCGTGGTTTTCTTGTGAGCACGAGGCCTCATTCGACAAGGAATCCAACATAATCTGGTTTGAGGTTGAGGGAAGACCCTCATCATCAAAAGAAGTTCTCAGCACTGCCCCACTTGTTGCAGTGATTCGGTCAATTCCACAAGATGAATCTGCCAACTCCTCACCCTTCATTGAATTCCCATCAGACTCTAAACCCATCCATCTCAGGAAATTGAGACGTCTCTGGTGAACACTTTCAAGGTGTTTTGTCCAAACCTGGTACCTAGTAACATGTCCGTTACCAGAACTAGATTCATCCGATTCTGAACAATCTGAACCCCCATCAGAGACAGAACACAATTCCTCACGGGTATCATAGAATTGATCTCCTTCCTCTTCCATATCCTCCTATTCCTACCCTTTCTTTCCCAATTCCTTCAATCTCAGATCACAGAAAGAACAAAAACAAACAAGTCTCAGCTCAAGGAATGATTTTTACTCTATTTTGGGGAAAAGGGTGTCTGAAACAGCTGCAAGGATGAAAAAAACACGAATCAGGAACAGTAACAAAACACAGGTGGAGAAATAACACAAAAAAGAAAGATAAGATGGATTTTGAATATGAAGCGTGGAAAATTGAGAAGAGGGTAAGGAAAAGATGCGATGTTAGGGACCTGGGTTATCTTCAAGTTCGAAGCTTGATCCAGAAATCCAAAGAATTGAATTCATAGAGATCTTCGCTGTATGTTGTGTTTGTTTGTTCAGTCTGCACTGTGCATCCACAGGAATACCTACCAACACCCACCACTTCTGCCTTCTGGTACGGCAGAGAAGAGGTTAAAATGAAAAATAAAAAAAAAGGAAATAAATATTTATTGTATTTAATAAGTAAAAATAAGTAAATATTTATATATATATATATTATTAATGGGGAAAGCATTGGCTGGTTGTGGGCGCATCTAAGAAATGAATGGAAAGTTGGTGTTATTGTGAGTGGACTGACTGAGTCTTCTTTTACTTTGAGTCTTTCCGTGTTAACACCAACATTTCATTCATTTCTTCCGAATCAGATACTTTGCTTCCACTTTCTTTCCACCTTCCTCGCCTCCATCTTACTATTATTATTCCTTCTAATCCCTTCTCTATAACAATTTTTACAAATATTCACTATTTTTATTCTTAATAAATATTATTTATCAAAATCAAAACCAAAAGTAATACCTGGATTATGATTAATAATATGCATAATATATACTATTAAAAATAATTAATTTTTAAATATACTTTATGAAAAATCCAAAATTTGATTTAAAATATTAATTGTATCATTTTTAATATATTTTGAAAGGCACTGGATTTATCTGTCCGTCTTGAATGACGGTCGAGCGCAATCTTTATTTACTGAGTATCCTGCAAGCATATGGCAATTCTATTTTAACACTTAAAATAACTAGACACCTATATATATATATATATATATATATATTATATTAGGTGTCTAGTTATTTTATATATAAAATTATTTAAATAATATTAATATAATAAAAATAGTTTAAATTATTTTAATACCCAAATATATTGGGTGTCTAGACACTGTATGGCAACACATAATTTAAGTCTTTAGTACTTTACACTGAATATAGATTTCGTTTTGGATTATAATTTATTGCAACTACATTTTTTTACGATCTTTTCTGCCTTTTTTTAGAAACTTACCTTTTTGTATTTACACATGTAACTCAATTTCGCACTCTAGTTAGGTGTAATGGTTTTTTTTAATGTATATCAACAAATAAATAAAAATATACATAGTAACATTTTATAAAATATAAAATTTAATATATTGATATTTTTTAATATTATAATTTTAATAAAAATATTATTCATTCAATTTTTATTATGTATCTTTAAATACGTGTTAAAAAAAATTAAATTTTTAATTATTGTTATAAAAATACATAATCAATTCATAAATATAATAAAAGAGTGTTTTTTATATGAAAAAAATTTAAAAATTACAAAAATACGGTGTTTTAGAAATAATTATGAAAATATACATTTTTTAAAAAACAATTAATAACAAATTTTAACTATTTTTTTAAATACTAGCAATTTTTAACTTTTTATATTTTTTTATATATTTTTTCGTTATTCTGTCACCTGTACCAAAAATTTTCAACCTTATGTTTTCGTTATTTTAAAAAAATTATATTTTAATATATTTTCAAATCTCATATATAAAAAATTAATCCTACAATAAAAAATAAATGTATAATAGATTTATATTAAGATATTTCAAAAATGTTTGTCGTATCTTTTACTTATTTTTTCAATAATACTTTTACGATCATCTTAAAATAAACATCAAACAATTTTTATTTTTTATTTAATAATTAAGAAATTTACAAAAATCAAATATAAGAAAATTTAAAAGTATTTATTCAAAAAGTATCTATAATATTAAATTAGTGAATTATATATTAAATAAAATATTTTAATTTATTTTGTATTCATTCTTTCAATAATCATTCTACTGCTTAATAAAATAAAATAAAATAAAATAAAAAGTATATATATTTATTATTTAAAAATACAAAATATATTTAATATTTTTTATTTAGTACAAATATTATAAATAAAAAATAATAATGAATTATTTTTAACTAAATACTTATTTGGTATGATTAAATAATTGATAAATGTTTTTATACAACGGATAAGAAAAATAATAAAATTTAGATTGCAAAAGGCAAATTACCAAAAGCCCGCAATGTTGGTAGCGGCGGTCAAAGTTTAACTTGGAATGGATATTGGATGGCAATGCCAACGCAGTTTATTCCTTTGTTTTAAGATAGGAGAAATTGGACTGTTCAACAACATTTTACTGCTATTTTACCCACAAACAAAAAGTCAATTGCTGTTAAGTCAAAATTTGGGTGTTTTTTATTTATAAAAATATTTCATATAATGCATGGATATCTTAGAATTTAGATGAAATATAAAATATAAAATAATACATATTTCACTATAAGAAGTATACGTAACTATTAAAAATATTATTTATTAAAAAATTATGTATCAAGATTATCTTTTTAAAAATTAAAATTGTAATATAAATTTTTAAAACCCTATACTAACATTAACAACATATGTTGATATTTTATATTGATAGAATTGTTTGTTAATATGATCTCTTTTCTATTTATTTATCTATTTAAAAATTTAAAATAATATTAATTTTTATTTTCGTAGTAATGCTATTTTGTTTATTTAAAATATTTATATTATCTGAGTAATTAAAGAATTAAAATGTTTTCATTAATAAATAGTGAATCAATAAATTTAATAATTAATTATAATAAAATAAATTAATGTTTTTATCTGTGTAACTTTCTTTCTTTTTGAACAGATGTATAAAAACAAACGTAGAATAATCCGTTATAGTGTTAGTATATACTCATAATATTTATAATACTTATTTAACTTTTTTTTTTTTATATATAGAAAAAATGTTATATTGGAAGAGCTTATTCTAATATCAAACCATTGGTAAGACAATAACTGTATAATAGTGTAATTAGTTTAAATGAAATGTAAAATATACATTAAAGACAGAAATTTTAAATTATAAAGAATGTATAATTATTTTCAAATAGTTTAAATTATAAAAAATAAGAATAGCAAGTGCTATTATTTTAATTAAAAAATTTAAAACTATACTACTCTCGAGCAATTATATTATAATTGATTGGATTATATATATAAACATAGAAGGAAAAACAATCACTGTAATTTATCATAATTTTATAATAGAGAGAGTCAAACAAACCCTTTTTCTAAATGCTGACCACCTAAATATCAAAAAATAAAATTCCAACATCTCAAGTCATTTCACAATTTTAAAATAAGTAATTGGTCAAATAATTGAATTAATCATTCTCAAATAATAAAAAACTGTGCAAAATTCTCAGACTTGAAAAAAAATAGTGTCCTTAGTCAGGCAAGTTTTTCATCGATCAAGTCTTTTTACCAGTCAATGAAGCAATTTGCCTTCTAAGTTCTAATTGTCTGCGAACATCATAGCATTTGAGATCAACATCCGAATTAACTTGAAAGCTTGTTAAGCTCAAGAAAAAGCTTTTTTTCCACGGTCAATGCACACCACAATCTTTCTGAAACAGCCCTCTTCTTAGCTTTCAAAGGGTCAAAATCACTTTATACTTCAGTCAAATAAAGTACTCTTATCAAAAGCCTTTCAAGAATATACTCTTGTTAACTTATATATAATCTCAATAATATAAACATTAATATTAAATGAGTGATTATAAAGTCATAAATATATGCAAGAACGCTTTTGATAAAGTCGTGTGTGTTATTATAGGCATATGTATGAATTTAAAGATTTAGACATCGATCTTCAGCATAACCAAACATCATGGAATCATGTGGGATCATATAGACATAACCAAGTATTAAACAACACATCTACGAATTGATAAAGATCTATAATATTTGTTGGCAATGATTTTTTAATTTAACAAAGGTTCAAATTCTGGAATATAACTGCTAATGGCACATTACTCAGTGGGTAGATCCTTTTTATAGTGATGACAAAGGAAAGCCTACCCCCATCTCTGCATTTGGTTAAATTACCAACAAATTTGAGACCTGACAAAATATAATAGTCAACGACAGGTTGGAGTTTCTTTCATCACCAGCCACAATTAGTGGTGTGATAGGTAAGCAAAGGGAAGAGCCAATGCTAGTATAACAGTTTTTATTGTTTTCTATGCTTTATTTTCATTTTTTTTTTCTTGTTATAGAAAAGAAGAAGATGAATTTGTAGGCCTAATTTTGGTCTAATTAATTTAGGTCTTTAATGGTTCCACCTATAACTGTTTAAGGGAAATCAACTAGTGTTTCTATTTCTCTTCCAAATTGGGTCTGGCATTTTTCAATTACTGTTATTTGTGTGGAAATATGTGAATGGCCCTGTTTTCTTACTTCTTAAATTTTAATATTAACCTCATTGGCAAGCAGCAAAATCAATGAATAAGAAGGTATTCCTTCCCATTTTTTCTTTGACATTTAAGATTTTGTACAAAAATTAAAATAATGATTGGTATTTCTAAATTTTATAAAAAAAACTATTACTTAACTTTTTATAATACTCTTCATCATTTATATTCATTGACATCTCACTTATTTATCATCTATATCAAATAAACATTAATTATTAAAATCGTTGAAGTATAAGAAACGGAGGAATTATACTATATGTTCTTCGTTATTGAATAAAGAAGAGGGTTTTTTTTTTTTTTTCCCCAATATCTGAAAACTAAGCTGCTTAAGCTTTTCTCAGGTTTAGGTTTTGGCAACTTTACATATGCCTAACCTTTATTTACAAGCTGAGAAATAAAGGGAACTGTAGGAGCCAAACTGGTTTCCTTTTCTAAGACCTATTAAGAGTTGTTAATTACTGTTTGATAAAGATACCTGTTATGTAGTTATTCATGTAACTTAACCAACTGAGTTGACTCAAGGGGATCCTCTTGATGCATTCTTGTCACTTGTAATTTATGTTTTCCATCTTTATTTATGAGTAAAAGCTATGAGTTTTCATAGCATTAAAATGTCTTCTGCTTAAAGAGCAACCTCACTTATTTCTCTCCTAACATTAAACTTAGAGTTCTCAGGTGCTCATTTCACATAATCGATTACACAATTCTAATTTTTTTTAAGCCAATAAATTTACTTTGACCTTAAGTCTATATATATAAAAGTGGATTAAAATTAATGTTAAGATTAGAGATGAGTTAATCTATTTTTTTAGAAAGTAATTAATAAATATTATATTTTTTTTAATAAAAAACGTGTATTTATTTATTTATTTATTATTTTTATTAAATTATTTTATTTTAAATTAATAAAAAAATTATATTTTAAATATAAAAGTATTTTAAAAAATAAAATAAAATCTATCAATTTTATCAAATTAAAATCAAACAAACTTTAAATTTGTAAATATTTATTAATTTTTTAAAGTTCATAAATTACTTTTTTGCATCCATGAATTTTTACAATATTAAGTATCATATATTTATAATTTTTACAATGACATTATTGTATTTATTTTTTTAACATATTAAGTTTTATTTAAATAAATAATTTTAAACATTTTTATAACAGATAACTTAACAAATTCAGCTAACGTTATTTTTATTATTAATTTTGTGTCTTACAAATATTAATTGAATATATGATGTTTTTAAAATACTTTTATAAAAAAAAATAAATAAACACTTTTTTTAGAGATTAATTAATAAATATTATATTATTATTTTTAATTAAAAAAACACAAGTGTTTGTTTATCATTTGTATTAAATTGTTTTTTAAAATTAATTCAAAAATATATTTCAAAAATAAAATTTTTATTAATTTAAGTTATTTTATTTTAAAAATAAATTTTATTAAATTAAAATAAGTCAAAATTTAAATTTACAGATATTCATTAATTTTTATTAAATTGATAAACTACTTTTTTACATTCATAAATTTTATAATATTAAATATCATATATATATATATATGATTTTTATGATAATAATATTGTATTTCTTTTTAATATATTAAATTTTATTAAATAAATTAGTTTAAATATTTTGATAAATGATGATTTAATAAATTTAACTAATGTTATTTTTTATTGTCAATTTTGTGTCTTTATTATGACTTTAAAAATATTTATTAAATATACAATATTTTTAAGATAATTTTATAAAAATAAATAAATATAATATAAAAACATTAAAATGTGAAAAAATTTATAATTTATGCCCAAATAAATTTTTAAAATAATATGTTAAAAAATTATTTATAAAATTATATGTATAAATAATGTTACTATAATTTAATAATTTTTAATAATACAGATAAAAATTAGATAAATATATAACTTAATTTGATAATAAATTATTATATTTTATTTAATATTATTTAATAATAATAATTTATCCCAAATATTAAATATTATATAAATTTATTTTTTATATATTTTTAAGTAATTTTAATTATTTATAATTCTATAATAAAAAATAAATATTTTTAATAAATTATATTTTTTAAAAGGTAGTTGACTCATGAGTTAGTCCTAATCTAGTTAATTATGTGAACATTTTAGCCTTAATTTATATGAGTTTGGGCTACATTAGTTAAGGCGGATATATTTTACACCTCTAGTTAAATCTAATATTTTTTTAAAATGAAATTTTAACTTTAACTAGTACACAATACTAAAACACTGCAAAACAGCATTTAAATTTTCTCCTTTCTTTTTTATGACATAACTGTAATGTAAGTATGATGAGAAAAATCCAATTTGAATTTGAGGAAAGCAAGACTTTTCACACTTTAAATATTCCAAAATTTTCAATGTGAAGTTAAAATAGAAGGAAATCCAAACATTTGCTTAAGCTGCTATTTATGCTAACCGAGATTCCAGCGTTGTATATTTTGATAATATTCCTTTGTTCTGTACCAAATGACATGAATAATTTTGGTTCCCAAGTAATACATTGAAAATCTGGCAATAAGAATTGGATGAAGATTTATTTATTTATTTTAAAGTTAGTCAGCAATTTCATATGTGAGAGTGGAGTTTGTCAAACATCAATTTTAGTTGGTTTTAAGTAACAGAAAGTGAAATATATTTTTTTTATTAAAAAGACAACATTTGTAATATTTTAATATTTTTGAAGTAATGAATATTTTATTTTCTAATAAATTTTTTGCTTAAAAGACTAATGTTAACAAACTGTATAACTAATGGTTGATTATTATATCCTTTTGAAATTCTCTATTTAGTCTCAAATTCATGTGATTCCCAGCCGTGGGGCAATCATTACCTATAGCTAAATGATGAAGAACATTAGTGGTTGATTTTGCATGGCAATCATGGGTTCTTAATCACCAAGGCATAAGGGATGAAGCAACAACCCAGCACAAAAAACTATGAATCTCATTCACATTACAGAACTTTTCCTTTTGTCAAACAATTATGTTTGTCTCAAAACATCATAGAAATCATGTTTAATAATCTCTTTTGGGAGCTAAATTGACATGGAAATGGCTTTCTGAAGATTCCTGAAGGCTTTCTCATACCGTAAAAATCCCATAAACCAAAATTCAGAGGCATCCTGAGTAACTATTTCTAAATACTTTTGTTCTGTGTTGTTCACATTCTGCCCTTCATTGACTTCTTTTATCTTTCCTATTGGTATCAAAACCTGCATAATATCATGCACCTTCATATCAGAAAAATGCAATTGATGAGAAATGAAAACCAATGATAATTGGATGTTGGAATTAATGTGTACCTTGTAGGGTGACCTGACCAATTCCCCAGCTGCAGAAGAGAAGGTTATTGGCCTTTCACTGCAAAATGCAACCTTTTTAGTGGAGATAAAGAGAACTCCAGCAATAGGACCAGCAGTTGTGTATAAATAGCACTGTGAAGCCTTCAAGAGTTGCTCTCCTTCTTGCATCCCAAAAATATGCTTGAAAATGTTCCCTCTCCCACCTTCTTGTATAATCCTAGCACCCAAACTCAACTTACCCTTTAGAGTTTCTGAGAGTTTAGGACCTAGTTTTACTGCAATTTCAAAAACCATATATTTTAATGAATCCACTGCTCAATTGAGTCCAATTCTTAGCATGTTTGGATGTGAGTTGAATGCCTCTAAAATTAAATTTGAAAATGTAAATGTGATATGAACCCTTGTTTGATAATTCTATGACAAAATAAATATTGCTTCTAAATTCACGATTGAGTTAATGTGATAAATTGTAATTTTTATTATGAACTTACTTTTAAAAGAAAAAATTTCAAGCACAAATATATTTAAGCCGTTAGATATGATTGGATACGTGCAAGAACAACATATTTTTAAGTGTGAGAATTTATTTTCTAACTGTAAAATAAACAAACCCTTCTTTTCAATCTTACTTTTAATTAAAATCAATTCTAAAGGATTGAGTTAATCCAAAATTAATTTTACAAAACGTCCACCAAATACACACTCTTCTTTTAACTATGTGAGGGAGATCTTTCAGAGATGACTTACCATGTTCATGAATCCTGCATGCAAAACTGCTGCTTTTCCGGCTAGTTGCTTCCTTTTGCTCCATCTTTGCTGTTTCTTTATATGCAGTTACAAGAACAACCAATAACTGTGTTATTGGTAGTGTGATGTAACAGGAAGATGTTGGACTCTGGAATCAATCAAAAGTTTGTGCAAGAGAAGAGCTTCTCTGTAGTTTGTGGAGAGATACCAGAAGAGTTAAAAAATGGACCCTTTTTCTGGAATCTGATTTGCAAACTGTTCTTCAAAATCTTTCGCTATCCTTGCAAACAACTATCCAATGGAAGATTACAAGAAAAAAAAAATGGGGAGGCCAATTTTAATAGGTAATATCATAAATCTCTTTGTTTTAGAAATTAGAATCATCCATACGTAAGAGACAAATTTGGATTGCCTTTATATTTATTGCATAATCAACTGACTTTGGGAGACTAAGTTAATCCATTTTTTTAATGTATGATTAATTTATGCTATTTTTATTACAAATTATAAAATTTAATATATGTTTCATGAGTTAAAAAAGTTTATTAAAAAAATATACTATTTATTATACTTTTATATTCTTAAAATAATAAATAGTATCGTTTCAATAAAAAAATTATTATTTTTACTAAAGTTAAAAAAATTTCTAAAATAAATAATGACTTAATCCCAAAAACCAGTGGCAGGTTTTTCTTGGCAAATCATGGTATTGAAAAGTTAGCTGGCTTTCCCATCTTTTCCATTCAAAAAAGGTCGGCAAATTCTTTGTTTTTGAATCCTTTTATGTATGAATTCTTTATTTGACGGTTAGTTGAGCACAGAACCGCTATTGACAGTTCATCTACGCGTTCAATCAAAAAACACTTTAAAAATATAGAAAAACAGAACACCAAAATGAAACGTAAGACGATGTTTGGAACAACAACAAAAAATGTTGAAATTTAATTTAATTTATAAATGATGTGGTTTGTACACTTGCATAAGTCATAACCCTTATGAGTCACTCATGCAAAATCTCGTTCATTCGTTTATAAAATTGCGTATCCAATGGTCCAGATCAATGTAGGCAGTGGTCATGACCCACACGTTAATTCCCTCTAGACGAAACCTTTATAAATTAGTTATTTCGGAGAAAGTTATCAAATAATAACTAGCTTTACTATAAAATCTTTTAATTTTAGGGTTTAGTGTTTGAGATTTTTGGCTTAGGTTTAACCATTTTACTAATCTTCATGATTATTTTCTATCACACTTTTAATCCATCTAAACATATAAAAAAAATCTATTTTTTCATTAATTTTAACATTAACTTCATTTCAATATTTATTTTTATATTTTACTAATTTCCCTCTGTTTTATGAGGGCAATCGTGGAATTGCAATTTTGGGCTCTTTTCAGTGTTCCATTTCACGCGTACGAGGGGAGGAAATATAAATGGTAGGCACTGCTAAAATTGCTCAATTCATATCCCTAATTCTACCTCACAAGATGCATGAAATGGACTAGAATTGTTGTTTTCTCCACTTTAATTTAAGTTCATACTATTTTTGTTCTTGCAAATAAGAGTAAATAACTATGTTTGAAAAACTATACAAATTGGTGTAGGATACAAGAGTTGCATAAAAATAAATAAATAAGATAAGCTATAATTCTATTATAAGAAAATAGAGTTGGCAAACTTAGTCTGATAAAAATATAAAGGTTTGAACTTTAAATTTTATGTCTAAAATAAATTTGAAACTTTTTAATTCGACTTAATCAAGTTCAATGCAAACTAAACTTAAATTTTTTAAAAAATATATATATATAGACTTAATTGAACTTAAATACTATTTTTAGGAGTTTAAATTGAATATAATATTTTTATTAATTGTTAAAGTTTACTGTAAACAACGTGTTAGTCTAAATGGATTGAGTAGTTTATGTTTTAATTTTATGTAAAAAATTTTAAAAATTAAAGTAAACAATTGCTAAACATATACCTGAGGGTCTTTCCATTAATTTAATTGATTTAGAAGCTTGTAAAAAATTTAGATCAATATTTGACTTGTTAAGATTGTAGGTCTTTAATATCTATATCGTCTCAATAATTATACTTGATTTAAAATTAATTTCAACAAATTTGAGTTTTAAATATTGAATCAAACATATTTTAGAAACGAATTCAAATTATACTTCACACTATCTCAACTCAGGTTAATGTCTCATGTTTTTTAAAATTTATAATTTTTAACAATTAAATATTGATAATGAGACTCTTTAACTCAATCTATATCATTTTACATAACATGATAATATTTATATACTGATATTATTTATTTTAAGATATATGCAGAGAAGTATACGTTTAGTTAAATTTCATATTCATTTGATTTTATCATTCAATACATAATGTTAAAAATTAATATATAGGGTTAATAAATTGGATTGATTTGATTCTATCTTATATATTACCAATTATTGATTGAATTATATTCGAGTCCAAACAAATAATTGGATTAAAATTTTGAATCATAAGGATTAAGTTAAATTCATCATTACTCATTTTACAAACGCCTTAGACTAAGATTGATTAAAAAAATAGATAACATTATTAAAAAAAAATTAATAACATTTTCCATAAGTCTTTTTCTTTTGTCTGTGAGCAATGATAGATGATACAGTGTAAGATGGGAGGATTTGATAAGAATGGGATCTTATGAACTTTCCCATTCTTTATTTTCCCTTTCGTCAAAAAAACATTAAAATAATATGTAATAATATTAAATATAAATTATTTATTTAAATAATTTTTAATTTGAATCGTTTTGTAGCCCACTTATTTGCAAGCCCAATAATGGTGATCATAGCCCATGTGAGATGTGATGTCCAGCGAGCTCTTTAACACAATCTATAAAGCAGACAATAAATAAATAAATACAATCTGCAAAAGTAATTTATAATATCGGAGAAGAGAAATATCACTAACACACTTTTAAATTTTTTTTAATATACTCCTTGATAATTAGTTAAAATTTATAAAAATTAGATCAATCTTATTTTTTTCTTACTCCTAATTTAATATTTAATAAATTCTAACTAATTATGTGTTAACAAAATATATTAAAAAATATGTTAATAGTATTTTACTTTTTTTTTTAAAATGGTGCATCCATACACTACAGATATAAAATATTAATAAAATAAATGAAGAGCTAACATCAAACACATAAAACGCATAGTTAGACATATTTATCTTTTCTATTGATATACAACATATTAATTTAATATTTATTTTTAAATATATAAAAACATGTTAGTATTAAAATAGTGATATATTGTTTACTGAATTAAAATCCTTAATTTTTCATAAATTAACTAATGTTTATATTTAAAAAGTAAATATTTTAAAAGATTATAAATCAAATAAAATGTTTATAGTAATATATATAATGCTGATCTCTTTAGTATTTATGCTTTTCAAATAAAAAGATATAATATTTTTTTATGATGACATTAAAAAATTTAATCCTAATATGTTTAATAAAGAATTCAAGTTTTAATACAATTTTATAGTTCGAAATATTTAAATTTATATTTCAATTATATCTTGAGTTTAAAATTAATTTAATCAAATTTTAAAATGAATGACCCATAATAAAAATAAAAAAATGTACTATTAATATTATACTTATATTATTTTTTTACTGTTATAACAATTATTTTCATTCGATTATTGTTGGATAATAGAAAAGCATTATTTTTCAGTTAAATAATTTTTGCTCTTATGTATTAAATGTATTTAATTTTGAATGTAATACTAAAAATATTAGAATGATCAATAAGAAAGTTTATAAGAGGATATGGCACTGTTCTTTTTAATTATTCGTAAAATCAATAATTAAAAAAGTGTTTTTTAAACTAAACTGATTTTTCTTTTTTGGTAGTACCCACACCAATAATTTAAAAAATGTGAGTATATAGTTTCTAACAAATTTTAATTATATACTATATACATTAATTGATAGTTTCTACTCTTAAACCTATACACTTATCCCCTATACATACTACCTTTGAGAAAGAAAGAAAGAAAAGAAATCAAACCAACCTCAACTCTTTAAATATTTGTTTAATTGTCTCACTTTTTTTCTCAAGATAATTCACGTAGAGAAGATATATTCAATAATGTATATGGATTTTGTGCTCTTGATTATCTAGTATCGTGGGAAGAGGCAATTAATGTCACATCTTTTAGGAACATATGATCCAAATTCGTTTTAGAATGGGTGAATGAAGAGTAATTAGAGGGTACCATGTCTCCTATTATAGGTTTTTTGACTAAATCCAACTTAACTTACTTCTTTCCATGCCTCCCCTTTCCTTCATTTCTCTGGATGTACTAGAAGTTAGGGAACAAAGGAAAATGCAAAATATAGCCATAAGCAAACTCCACCTTCCTTTTCTGTCTGTCTCCCTACTCTTTTTATTCCCTTTTGATCTTAATCAACATCATCGTAATAAATTTACACATTCTTTGACTCTGCTCGATACATATCCTCTCTGGTATGTTGACAAGATTCACCTTCCATTTCTTTGTTTGTTCTCATCATATTGTTCTTGGTTTGTTTAGTTGCTCCTGAATCTAAAACTTGCATGTGTAGATAATAATTCAAATAGAATAGAACAATAGATAGCCAGTTATTTGAGTAAGATTACATAATAAATCGACTTTAATTTTGACTGAAAACTCTGAAATATGCTCTTTTGTTTTCTACGGTAATTTTTTAAATTATTTTTCTCATATATTAAGTACATTTTCCTAGTTAATTTGCAAGTACCTTATTACTATGTCAAACCGAGATGAAAATAGAGCGAAGAAGCATCTATAATAATAGCTAATTAAGTCTAAAAAGAAGAATTACTAGTATATCTACAATCTAATACTCCTCTGTTAATTTCATTTTTAATATCACATGTTCCACTTATATTCTTTAGATTTCAGGTTTGTTTCTTTTTTTTCTTTAAAAAGAAATATATCATGGCTGCTTTTAATAAATTTAGTTTTAGTATGTTACACATTTCTTATTATTAGTCTTCATTCTTCCCTGTTTGTTTGTTTTGGAAATATAGAACTAAAAGGTTGAAGTTTCAATGAATTTTTCCTTAAAAATATGCTTGTTTATCTTTCTGGTCTCTTCATTTTTCATGTTCAGAATACTTTTTTGCCTTGTTGGCCTAATGCCTACTTGTTTTCTGTGTTCAATCACCAAATTCATTTCATCTCTCTCTCTCTCTCCAGCTTATTATTTTAGAGATAGTTCACTAATGGTGGTAATTAATATTTTATAGTCGCTTCTTACATCGAAATTAAACTATATTTTACATACACACGTTACATATATATCTTCATCTTCAGTAAATTAATCTTTTGCTCCATCCCAGCCTTGTCTTTTCTTTTACTTCAAACAGAAGAAATAACGCAGAAAGGTAGAAAAAGAATGCCATTAATGAACTAGTTGTATGCCCTTTTAATTATAACAACGGGTATATGCCTATAACATTCTATTGTGTGGTAGCTTCATCTATCTCAAACTTGTGAACATAAGCTAATGTTATTTGTTTATTTGAAAATTTTTTCAGAACTGAAAACAAAAAGAAAATGGGCAAGGATTACAATGGATCACCAAAACATTATAATCAGCTTGAAAATAAGAGAAATCGTCTCACATGGATTTTAGGGGTTAGTGGACTATGTATTTTGTCTTACATAATGGGTGCATGGAGAAATACTTCAAATCCTAATAACCAATCTGAAATCTACACAAAAGTAGACTGCACTAGTGGGTCAGCTCCATTGGACACAGCATCTTCAGCAATTCAATCATCAACTTCCAATTTAGATTTTGAAAGTCATCATCAAATTGACGTAAAAAGTTCTCAAGGGGTGCAAGAGTTCCCACCATGTGACATGTCATTTAGTGAATATACACCATGCCAAGATCCAGTTAGAGGTCGCAAATTTGACCGAAACATGTTGAAGTATAGGGAGCGGCATTGCCCCTCCAAGGAAGAATTACTGTACTGTCTTATACCTCCTCCACCAAAATATAAGCCACCTTTCAAATGGCCTCAAAGTAGAGATTATGCTTGGTATGACAATATTCCACACAAAGAGCTTAGCATTGAGAAAGCTGTTCAAAACTGGATTCAAGTTGAGGGTGACAGGTTCAGATTCCCTGGAGGAGGTACAATGTTTCCCCGTGGAGCTGATGCATACATTGATGACATTAATGAGCTTATTCCCCTCACCAGTGGTAATATCAGAACTGCAATTGATACGGGGTGTGGTGTAAGTTCATCTATATTCCATCTTGGTTTGTGTCTATGCCTCTATTTATTTTGTTGAAGTTTATTTCTATCTATTGTAACATTGTGTTTGGAACTTTGGACCTTGTTATAGTAGTGTGTAAAAGACAAAAATGCATGAATGCTTAGGAGTTGAGTTTGATTGGTGATTTATCGTGTACTTTTTCCCCTCTACATCTCAAATTTAGATTAAACATTAATTAGGACAAAATGTGTTTTTCTGTATGAAGGATTTTATATATGTTGCTCACACTTTGTTCCTTCCTGCTCTTCTAATTGTAAAGGTAGCAAGTTGGGGTGCTTATCTTTTGAAAAGGGACATACAAGCAATGTCTTTTGCACCAAGGGATACACATGAAGCTCAGGTTCAATTTGCATTGGAAAGAGGAGTTCCAGCAATGATTGGCATCATGGCTTCACAGAGGATTCCATACCCAGCAAGGGCGTTTGATATGGCCCATTGTTCTCGCTGCTTGATACCTTGGGACAAATTTGGTATTCGCACTTCTTTATTATGATGGCTCACTATTTTCATTGGCTATATAATTTAGTAACTAAGAAACAATTAATCAAACAAAGAGTTAATTAAGTACATATGTAATTAAGGCATTAATCATTCTTTCAACATTGTCATATGAAAATGGAACCATTTTTGCTTGGATTTCCCAAGTTGTTATTCTTCCATTTTTATTCTTAAAAGGGAAAAATAAAAATAATCGTTCTGCTAATTATATGTAACAATAATTTTTTAAAATTTTTTATTTTTTTGCATTTTTACTAGTTATTAAGTCTCTAATTTCCATCCCACAGATGGTATGTATTTGATTGAAGTGGATAGAGTTCTCAGACCAGGTGGCTATTGGATTCTTTCTGGCCCACCTATTAGATGGAAGAAATATTGGAGGGGGTGGGAAAGGACCCAAGAGGATTTGAAGCAAGAGCAAGATGCTATTGAGGCAGTGGCCAAAAGCATATGTTGGAACAAAGTAATTGAGAAGGATGACCTCGCCATTTGGCAAAAGCCTAAAAATCACATTGAATGTTTACAGAAGAAACAGATTTTTAAAACACCTCACATATGCCAATCTGACAATCCTGACATGGCTTGGTAATTCTTTAGATAATTTCTTCTGTAACAAAACGTAGATATAGTTTCATAGTTACTATTGGTATTATTTTTCAATCATAATTGATCATTTCATCTTGATAACCACTGCTTTTATCTCAATAACTAAAATTGACAACTATTACTAAGATGAAATGTCGATTTTGATAGTAGCGCTAACAATACCATACCTACTGTATCTTAAGATTTATTTTTTCTACTATGCGTAGGCTCACTTTATTATATAATGAAAACCTTTGTTGTTCTTACCATTTTCTTCGTTTAATTGCACTGAAAAGGTACCAAAATATGGAAAAGTGCATAACTCCATTGCCAGAAGTTAGCAGCCCAGACAAAGTATCTGGAGGGACACTAGAAAAATGGCCTAAGCGTGCATTTGCCATCCCTCCTCGAATTAGCAGTGGTTCAATACCAAACATCAATGCAGAGAAATTTCAAAAGGACAATGAACTGTGGAGGGAAAGAATAGCACATTATAAGCATCTCATTCCTCTTTCCCAAGGGAAATATAGAAACGTCATTGACATGAATGCTTATCTTGGTGGATTTGCAGCAGCCTTAATAAAATATCCAGTGTGGGTTATGAATGTTGTTCCTCCAAATTCAGACCATGACACATTGGGTGCAATTTATGAACGAGGCTTTATTGGTACTTACCATGATTGGTGTGAAGCTTTCTCAACTTATCCAAGAACATATGATCTCATCCATGCAAGTAATGTATTTGGCATATATCAGGATAGGTAGGTAAACCTATTTGGATATTATATCTAACTATTTAGCTTAGGTTATTTTTCACCATGCTATTGCTTCTTATTATATGGTTTTTGACTTGATGAATAATTGTGTGTGGAAGGTGCAACATTACTCTTATACTACTGGAGATGGATAGAATTTTGAGGCCAGAAGGCACTGTTATATTCAGAGAAGGAGTAGAGCTTCTCGTGAAGATTAAAAGCATAACTGATTCAATGAAATGGAAAAGCAACATAATGGATCATGAAAGTGGACCCTTCAACCCAGAAAAAATCCTTGTTGCCGAAAAAGCTTACTGGACTGGCGAAATTAAAGAGAATCAAAACAAGTAGATAGGTTTTATTACAAATTTCTTTTTTAACCTTTTTGTTTTCCCCTCTTAGAAATTAAATTGTAACTAGATTTCGACCCGTGAAATCCCCTGCATTTCACGGACACCTTTTCTGTTAATTTTTGTCTTTCTGATTATAAGTTTAAGTATATGATGTTTATCTAAATATAGAGCGTAAATGCACGTTGTGTATTACATAGTTACGTAGAAACAACTCTACCATTAATAAATTATTCTTCCACGTTATTCTGATTTTTCTAAGGCACGTTCTAAAAAAATAAAAAATGGAGTTGGTGAAAACTTAAATTAAAATAAATAAACATAAACATTGATAATGCGACTGGATACTGTGATATTAAATAAGAATAAATTTATCATGTAATAATAATTTTTAAAAAATGAGTAAGTTTAATTAATTTTAGTGATGTGTGCAATTTAGTTAAAAATATATAAAAGGGACTAAAAGAAGTAACTAAAATGCTAACATAGCGCTATGTTAAACAATAAATGATGTTTTTAGATTAATTGAAATATTAATGTAGCATAAAGGAATAATGAAAGTTATATCTATTGAAAATGACTCTAAATTTTGGATAAGGAACCTTCTTTATGTAATTATTAACTATCATTATTTTGAGAAACTACAAAATTAGAAAAGTTGATGTGGTGGCTAAGAGAAATGACGTAGACTTTAATTAGGAGTTAAATTCAGTAGAAGAAGAAGAAAGTGAAAGGTTTATTTGAAAGTAATCCTTTTTGAGAATTTTTAAAGGTGAGAATAAATTTTTATAAATCTTACAAAACTCTTGTAAATTTATGTTTTTAAATTCCTCTAAATTAATTTTTTTTTGTTAACTTCCATCCTCTCTTCTTTTCATTTTCTTCCCTTCCCTTACCATTTAAACTCTTTCATATCTTTCAAACTATAAAAAAAATCTTAATTATAATGTATCACACTAAATAAAATATTTATGTGATGTAAAAAATTAATAAGAGAAAAATAAAAGTTATAATTTAAATGTCAATGTCATATTCTATGCTTTAAGTGTTAGATATTATAAATAAATTATATTTTTTTATCTAAATTATAGGTATATTACACAAAAGGTAAAATCATAGTGAGCGACATATTTTTTTTCTCTAAATATTTAACATATATATATTTAAAACTCAAACTTAAAACTATTAATTAAACTAAAATATTTGTGTCAAATAATTTACATACTCAATAATAAATATTTGCTTAATTGCCTTACTCTTTTTTTCTTATCATATTCTTCTTATTTTATTCCCTTCTTGAACTGAATTAATTGAACCACCGAAATTAACATAAGATGTTAACAAAAAGCCAATTTTAATTTGATTACTGGCCTGACAAAATACTATAATTTTTAACTTAAATTATACTTTTTTATTCTCCCTCTATTTATTTACTAGATTATTTTGTGAATGATAAAATTAAAGATGCTTAGAATGCAACGTTACAAAAAGAAAATCGTAGATCCGATACCGAAGCTTTTGTAACTTGTAAGGAGTATATTGATTCAACTACCGTGAGAGTAAGTAAACTTGTGTTTAGTCACAAAAATTTAGTTTAGATCACAAAACATGCAAGAGCTGATAACTCTTACATCCTTGCTTAGCACATGTAAATGAATCGTTTCTCTCAAATAAAGATAGAAAACACGAATCTACAAACCAAAAGAAAGAACCTGTTAGCAAACATTGTTAAAAATCATTTATTATTTTCTCAAAACAATAAAGCTGTCAATAAGTGTGAAATGAAGGGGGGGAAATCAGGCTGCTGAAGAGGAAGTGCGCAGTCTGTATAAGGAATTACACTAACGAGACAAACATTGACTTTAACTTTTAATGTTTCTGCTCTTTTATTAGGGTAAAAGGTAGGAATGTGCAGTGTAAAGTTCAAAAACACGAGGATCACATTTTCTTAATGGAACACAAATTTCAATCAAGGACGAGCTTAGATTGATATCAACATCTTACAGAAAGTGACGCACTTAAGGCAATGAGAGCTATCTGCAGAGTAAAACAAAATGTTATATAACCAAATCGCTTATTTTTAAATAGTCTACATTTAACACCAACGTTATAATGAACCAATTACCACCACCTCTTCCTAACAAAACCATATTTTACGAAGAATTTTCTCTGGTTATTTAGGGTCATAGTAAAAATCAATGAAATCAAATTTCTTTTACTACCTGAACTTAAGCCCCACAGATCCAAACCCTAGGAGTAGGTCAGTCCCCGGGGTAATTGTTGTGCAAGCGTAAATATACAGCAAAAGTTTTCGCCCATGATCTCATTTCAACTTGCCTTCAGAAGCTATACATAACTGTAATGCATGCATGTATTACATACACCATCTCCTCTTTACTAATTCAGAACAGACATCCAGTAAACAGAAACCGAAGAAGCAAAAAGTCTCCAGATACGATTTTCATTTTTTTTCTTCAGAAGAAAGAAATAAAACACACAAATACACAAAGCTATTATATAGTCACCCTTCACTACCAGAGTCTCATCTTGCCCCCAAATTTTGCAGTCTATGTTTTTATGACTTCTTTTCATTTACTTTCCCAGGATCAGTCAGCAGTCATTGGTTGAGTCATGCAACACCTGAATCGGGCCTTCCGAACTGTTGTCATGATCTCAGTCTCCGCATTCTCAAGCATTCCTACAATTTCAGCAAATGGTGGCCTAACATCAGGGTTGGGATCCCAGCATCTTGTCATGATCTCACGGAGAACAGGTAGGCAATCATTGGGTATGATTGGGCGAACATTTTTGTTGACAACAGCAAATGCGGCCTGTACTGCTGTCATGTTCTGAAATGGAAGCATACCAGTGATGAGTTCCCACAGAACAATCCCAAAGCTATATACATCCACCTTCTGTGTGTATGGCCTGTGTTGAATCATCTCCCTGCAGCAGATCAGCAAACACCATATTTACATATCACATCAAATTATTATTTAAAACAAAAATATAAAAACAGATTAGCAAACAACATATTCAAATATCACTTTAGTTATGCATTTCAGCATTTCAAACAAGTTAGATCATGTTAGCCAAAAATATATGATAAATCACCAAATAGGGTTTTATTCATAGTAGAAACATGAAAACTAACAGATGTAATAGACTCTGAAGCAGATGTAATCAGAATAATATACACAGCTAACAAATAAAACTGTCCACATATCTTCTAATAACTGGTACTCAATAAATTCCATTATAAATCTCCTCCATTCAGTCATTATAGCTAGTTCTAGAAAGCTAACAGCATCCTTCATTCCACAGAAGAATAGTATTAGAAAAAAAATAAGAAAAACAAGTAAAGAAAATGGTAAAGACATCATTATTAGAAAGCCCCAAAAAAGAATAAAACACTAAATAGAATTCCAATTCCTCTGAACGTCTAACAAGGAAATTTCATGAATGTCACCCTCGGAATAGCACAAAGATAATCAATCAAAACAATCCCATCCCAAGCATTTTCCTCCAAACAAAAAAGACACCATAAAGCACATAAACATGTCATTAAAACAATTTTCCATTCTTACTCCGATAAGTCTCATGGGTATGCCCAAGATCCACCAGAAAGTTAACACAGTTATCAGAAAGCAATACCAAAAACAGAAAAGATTTCAGTTCACACTATATGGTTTCAATAATGTTGCAAGCATATCTTCTAGTTTTCAGCTAAAACCATCTCAGTTACTAAGAAATACCTCACCCAATTTGAATAAACTAATTAGTGCACCCTAATTTTAAACATGCTTCCTTATGCTGTTTTGCATAGAATATATGCCATGTCAGTTAGTCAAAACAACTTGAGAATAACAGCAGCAAACACAACAAGCCTTGATCCTAAGCATTTGGAGTCACCCACAAGAAACTGTAATCTTAAATCATTCATAATCCTCCTCCATATAGATTCCAGGTTGCCATTTTAGTAACACAATTAAATTATATCGCCCAATACATTTAAATTGACTAATCAATTAGTGTAACAGTATAAAACAAAACGCTCAAGCCATCATTAAATATTACCGATATACATATATAATGGTAACAGATATGCAACTAATATCAAACCTCCATCAATACAAAAGGTCCAAACCAAAAACAATTACTGGGGCCTATTTCAAGCCAGAAAACACAAAAGTGGTTAAAAAACAAAACACAACAAATTAAACATCCAATAGAGACAATCCAAACATTTGAACTCATCATGCAACAACTGTTACCCATCAAGACAAGATAGTATCTGCAACACAACATGCATGCAATAGAATATGACTGTAATCAAAGATAGGTTTTTCATATTTCACAACACTGCTATGATATATGGCGATAATTGGAAAAGATATGTCCATGACAGATCTTGTGATAACCTGGCCACAATGCAGTAAAATTAAAGGTCTGTTCACAACAATCGCATCCCAGATATATGCACCAAGTGAAATTATGTAAATCAGACCTGCTAGATAGCAATGAGCAAACCAAAAAGGAATAAAGAGCAAATAAGATTTATCTTTAATGCAATCAAGTAGATTCCTATAATTGATACTTTCTCCTTTAGCCAAGGAATGGGTGAGATAATCTACACTGTACTAGCTACTTTCTTTCATTTTGTTATAAAGCACTCTTTGAGCAATTATGCATTCAATTAGGAAAACCTTTCAAGAATTTCTATATACTGATACATTGGTAGTGTGTAAGAATCCAGTACCAGTATTTATTGGACACATATTAATGCATACCAAATCCTATCAACTAAGTGGTCTGGTTTACTAATAAACAAACTTCTACTTTACTCCTGCCAAAACTTGTGCCTTCTTTCAATACTTATGCCAACTTAGGTTACAACATCAACATTACAGTTATTTTATGATTCAATTACTTAATTGTTAATGGGTTTTTTATTTCTTTGTACCCGCATTCATGCAACTTTGGTCACTAAATCATGCCAATATTCAAATAACAAACACATAAGAGACTGGAACATACAGCTGCTTTCAGTAACTAAAACCAACTACAAGAAACAAAACTCACTCGACCAGAATTTCCCTAAAAAATACCTACAAGTGATATAAACATTTTAACTTCAATACCCAAGCTTAGCACTTACCCAAACCATAACTAGCTTACTAACTCAAAACCAAAACTATGGCGATTTTGACTTCTCCAACTTCAGGTTGACATGGGCCAGCAGAAAATTAGTTTATTGGGACAAATGCATACGCATATTGGATTGGGTTAAGCATTGCTCTTAGGATACACAAAGCTAGACGAATGATTCCCCTATGCAGGACTGTGCATTTCTACCACTAAAATCTTCACATGATAGGAATTAGCTGCAAACCAGCATAGTGTAATGCATCTACACAAATATATCAATTTGCTAAGATTAAGAAAGAAGAGAAAAACTTTTTTCCAAGATTCACAAATTACTCCAGCCAAATTCAGCAGGATACAAAATGCGTGTCATTTTCCAAATAAGGAGTGAGGTGGAATGAAGAGCAGAAGATAGATGAGAAAAAATCAATGGCATCATTGTTAAAAAAAACTTATCAGCCCTCAAACAAAAAATATACAGGTTATGTAGGAAAACAAATAGTCAAAAAGAAAAATTATAGGCACTACGTGGGATCCAAAACAAGAACAGAATTTTTAAACTATCGTGTCAACAGCAACTTCCAATGACGATAATTTTCAGAGACTAGCATTGCATTATCTTCAGAACTTGCTTCTAAAATATACAGTGAAGCCCAAGCTGCATTTGATACTTAACCATATTTATAATTTTTTGTAGTATTAGCACAGTTTGATATTTCCTTACCCTTCAAGTCAAAACAAAAGAAACAGAAGATTATCCTCCACTTCTTGAAGCATGAAAGATAATGATAAGAAGACAAGGATAGAATGTGATTGAAAGAAATGTATGTCATAATTATACTCTAGTGACAAGTACTTCAATAAAAATGAAAAATAAAAAAAACCCAATAGAACAAGATTAACCAGCGCCAGCCAATATGTAAATCCAGAAGCAGACAAATTAATTATACACAAAAAATATGTAGCCGATAAGGAAATAGTAATATTACTATTTCAGGCTTTCAGCAGTACGTGCCATTTCAACTTGGGATCACAAACAACTCATTATGAACCCAAAAAAAATGATGTTGACACATAAAAGAAGGATCAATTGTTTGTCAGCACTACCTAAAAGCAATCTTTCCTTCAATAAATATCTTTAAAAAAGTTTAGAGAAATTGTCAAAAACATAGTTTCAGAAACATGAAACCAGAATGCATATTAAATTAAAATCATAAGGAAAAAAACAGTAAATAATCTTACGGAGCCATCCAACGGTATGTTCCAGTCTCAGGTGTCATTCCTTCAGTTTGTACCTCAATGCGGGCAACTCCAAAGTCAGCAATTTTAATTGACTTGTCACCAAAAATCAAAAGATTATCAGACTTCAAGTCCCTGTGGATCAATCCAAGGCCATGAACATATGCCATCCCCCTTGCAACATCCAAAGCTTGTTTGACAGCCAATTTGAGGGGAACTGAACGGTTTTGACGCTTCATTAAAAATTGTCGAACTGAACCACCTTTTGCATACTCAGTTACAATGCACCAGACCATTGGCTTGCGGCATGCACCGATGAACCGAACAATGTTAGGATGCTTGAGTGTAGCCAGCATCATGACCTCCTGCTGAAACTGTTGTTCCATCAATTGAGCTTTTGCTGGATCGTTTTCAGGCCTCTCCAAGATCTTGATAGCAACATCTTCACCATTGTAGGTACCTCTGTAGAGTTTCCCAAAAGCTCCTTGAGCAAAAGGCTCACCCATATTAAGTTTCCTCAAATCAATTGTCCACTCATCAAAATTGTCAAGCCCCTCAGTCGGAGAACTATTGTCCATTAGAGCTTGAGCTAAAGCATCGTCACTCAAAGCATGTGTGACTCTTCCCCGGCGATTAGCACTATGTGCAACAGAGTAGTTATCATTGGCACGCCTCCTCAACCCTTGGTGGTCCAACATGCGAGTATGGGAATCGTTGGAGCCAACACTGCTATTATCAATAGACATCGCAACAGATCCCCCACCATTACTTGTCTGTAAGCTCCCAACGCTGTCAATTGACATATTAGTACCCTCCCCAAGCTTATGGTAAAAGCCTTGAGAGAAATCATAATAGTTGTTATTATGCTTGTTGAGATCTATTATTCCCGGGAATTTTGCACCTCCTTCCAACATTTTCCACACAGAAGAGAAAAGCCTCCAAGCCTTGTTATTTTTTCAGCATCAGAAATTGTAAATTAAACTACCTGAACAAAACCCTAAAACCAAGATAAGCCCACAAAAGAATTTAGCATTTGGATTTACAAATTTCAATTACCGCAAAAAAGTAACCTCCATGTTAGCATTTGTCTCATTATCAACTGCACCAACCAAAAAAAAATAAATATAAAACAACTTAAGACCTCCCTACTATAATTGCTGGATTTATGACAAAAGACGCGGAAAAGCTGGTCTAGTAAACATCACCCAGCAAAAAACGCGTCAGTTACCCCAACATCAGTTTTTTCAAAACTTGTAATCAAAATGCATGTGAAACAAACTGTTGAAGAAAAAGGAAAAACAATTAAACACACAGAACGCTCTACCAAAAAAAAATTGCAATTGTAAACCCTCAAGTACCAGATTTATCAGTATGCTCTTGTGCAAATCAGGGCACACTAAGACTTCTCTGGAACACAAACCACTTTCCAAAAGAACAATTAAAAATTTTAGAAAAATAAATAAAATAAAATTTCGGATTAGAACCATAAGCTGCAGCATAAGCCTTGCATATCAAACACAGGCAAGAAAAAATTCAAAGCGAATTTGTCAAAAAAAATAAAAAGAGACACGCACAGAGAGCAAAACACCCACAAGATACAAATAAACTCCAGAAACAAAAAAGTGTAAAAAAAAAAGACCAAAATTTTCGAAATCACTGAAACCAGCTTCTAAGTCAAATCTCACAGAATATTCGTGAACTCGTCACTGATCTTACAAAAAAAGAGCGAAAAAGAGTGAAAACCTCAACAAACCCTAAAATCAGAAAAGTACAGAAGCAAAAGCTTAAGAAGACACGGATACACTTACATCAAGAAGAGGGCTTGACTTTAACCACGCGAGTTGGGATGATAGAGTCTCAGAAAACGAAGGAAAGAAGAGAGATCGAAGAGAGAAAACCCAAACGGAAATGGACAAGATTGAGTTCTCCCGTACGAAGGAAGCCAGAGACCAGAGAAAGAGCAGAAGAAATGAAATGGATGACTTTCTTTTTTGTTTTTTTATTTATATTTATATTTATTTATGATTTTATTTTTTTTATGCCTAGTCTTTTTCTTCTTCCGTTCCTAACATTCTAAAGTCTTCATTGCTTGTTTTTCTTCACTACTTTTTTATTCTTTATTTATTTACTTACCTATTTATTTATTTTGTTTCTTTCCTTCCATATTTTAAGCACTATTCACGACACACTTGGGCTAGTATCCAGTACCCGCAGCGCACTCAAGCTTTATTTGCGTCTCCACTTAATACGCTTTGCGTTTTTGACTTTTTGGTCCAAAACCAAAACCTACCCTCCCTCATTGTTAACCTGCACGTCCTCTTTACCCATAAAAGCCAAAATAAATGCTCTTCGCTAATCTCAATTCTTTTTATTATTTTACGCATATGCATTTATTGATAATTAATATGTAACGGAAACAACTCAGCAAGTATTATGTGATATAAATCTTTTAAGTATTGCAGTTTATTTCAATTTTTTTAATCTTATTAAACTTAACTGTTAAAACAAAGTATTTAAAATAATATTTTTATTTAAAATTATTATATATTTTATTATAATAAAAAATTAATAATAATTTACTACTTCTCAATGCTTACATTTAAATTTAACAGTTAAGATTAATAAAATTTTTAATTCTTTTTTTAGATTTTAATTTTCTATACTGATATTTGAAGGGTAGTTAATTTTTAAATTTTTTATATAATAAAAATTAAAAATTATATTAAAATGTAATATTTAAATATATCAATATATTAAATTATAATAAAATATATAATTTATAATAAAAAATTTATTATATATAAACTTTTATTATGTACAATGTTGCACATGTTAAAAAATTTATTAATTTTTCAATAGCTTAATTGACTATGATTTTTGCTACATATTTGCACCTTTTTTTTAATTTATTATTTTGCAAAATAATTTAAAATGTTTAATATTTTAAAATTTATAAAAAAATATTACTTAACAATTTATTAAATCATTCATTTATTTTTCACTTGTTAATTATCCTTTGTCAACAAACATTAATTATAAATAATATTAATTATTTATTGATTTTTATAAAATGATGATAACAAAAATAGAATTGTTAAACTGTTAGAAAACAAAAATTGTTATTATAATACCAAAAAAATGTAATTAAATACTTATTTTCAAAATATTAAAAATGTATTTACTGTAATACAAAAACAAAGTAAATCAATAATTCTTAATACTGTATAAATTTTTATATTAAAAATATATTAAAATTAAATTTATTATTTAATATTTATATACATAACTAAATTTTTTGTGAGCAAAATTTTTATGTGGCATCTTTTACTAATTGTTTAACATTTAAATTTATTAAATTTTATTTATTATTGTTATTATTATTATTATTATTTCGTTAATACACTTATCTAATTTTATATTTGTGACTCAATAAATTTTTTATGTAAAATAAAATAAATAAAGTCTCAGACAAGTTTAAAACTTCACTCATTTTTTTATGAGGTAAATGTAAAAGCCTTTTGAAATTTTCTCTTAAAAAATTGCATAACAGATTATTTTCATGAGAAAAATTTTCTATTTTATCACATTGTAATTTTATAGTTTTTTGTTTTAAAATTATTTTAATTTAATTAACTTTGTTGTTATTAACTTCTTCTTTTTTATATGTTGCTTGATATTTCACATTTTTTCTCATTTTAATTATTTTGAAAATTAGAAGTATTTTTCTAATTTTAAAAAATAAAAATAAAAAATATTTTTATAATAAAATGAAAATAAATTTAGTATACATAAAATTTTAAATTTTTATAAAAAATTAAATAACATATTTATAAATATTTAAATTATATAAGATTTGGTATATAAGAGTTATAAAAATAATATAAGATGATCTAACAATTAAATAGGTAATTTATTATTTTATAAAATATTATTGAGTAATATAAATGTTTAAATTTAATTTTAAATAAATAATAATTTTATTTATTAAATTAAAAATGTATTGTTAAATAATATAATATTAAATAATTAATTGTCATTTATTTATGAATTTAATGTTTTAATATTTTACTTTTTATTTATATAAACAAAAATTATATAACTCCATTAATGATAATATTAATTGTTAAACATTATTTTAATTAAATTACTTGAAATTTATTTAAATAAAAAATATTAAAACATATTTATCAATTAAAAATATTTTATGCATTTACAAAAGTTTAAAATCAATAAATCTGACGTAAAAGCGTTAATAACAATGTTCACGGTGTAAACATTTTTACATTAGCAATGCATCAAAATTAAATTATACCGGTTAGTAACTTATAAAATATATAAATATTTTATCTTAAAATATGTATTTAATAACTAATTAATAAAATCTTAAATTTTTAAACAATTATATAGTACTCTAAATTTAAGAGGCAAAATTCTTAAAACTAAATTATAAATATAAAATCATAGAAAAATTATTATTTATTATTAAACATATTTTCTAATTTATGTGCTTTATATATATATATATATATATATAATGTAAATAAAATTTAGATAATATTTTATCATAAAATTTGAAAAACCCACAAGTGTTGTCAATGACCTTAAGCCCATTATTTAATAGAAGGACAAAAACTCCATACTACCATGCCACAACTCTGATGTATTATAATATTTATTTGTCTATGGCATGTTTTTATTAACATAATTTTTAATATACGTAACTAACGACTCAATTTATTAAGTCAATAGTCGGTCAGAGCTTACTAACATTTTCTTTGGAGGTTCATTAATTGTTGTTGGTGGCTGTTAATAGACAATAGTGTAATATACATTAACTTGTAAAAAATATATATTTTAAAATAAACAAATCCAATTTACATAATACATGCTTGAGTTAACTCGTTTTTTAAATAATTAAATATTTTTACTATTTATTTAAAAGAGTTTGTAAAATAAATAAACACCAATATTTTTTCTACAAAATTGTAAAAAATGTTATATGATAGTGAATATCATCCTACATCGATATGTTAATATCCATTAAAGTTATTTTTATAATTGATAAAACATAAGTTGCTTATTTTATCAAGCGAGGCTCTTTTCTTATTTATATATTAAAAATTATTTTTAAATAAGACAAATTATTTGAGAATTATAATTATATATTATTTATATAAAAAATTATTAAAGTCAAACATTTATAAAATTATTGTCAAATAGTTTTTATTTTTATAAAATTTAAAAGTATATTTATGTAATATATAAAACTTAATCCATCTTTGTACACGTGGCATAAGGAAGTTTTTTAAATATTTTTAAAAATAATATAACTAACAAATTCTATAATATTCATTGATTTTAATTTTCTAAATAGTAAATGAGAAAATTGATTTAATTACATTAATTTCTTTAATTACTAATTGACAATAATTTTAAATTTTTTACAATAGATCATAAAAAATATTGTATCTCTAATAAATTTATTTTATTTTTTGGTATAAATTATTACTAATTGATACTATAGTATTGTAATTTTTTCATAATTTTCTAAATAAATTAAATTTTTTTTTATAATTACTTAAATAGTACATAATCAAAAATAAAATAAAAATAAAATAGAATACTTTAAACAAGAATAATAATATTTACTAATTATTATAATATACTTTATAATTTTTTAAAACTTTTTAATAATAAAAAATCTTTAAATTAGAGATACAATAAAATAATTTAAATTAAATATTAAATTTATTTTATATTTTATAATTTCTAATAAGCTTAACACGAGATAATTTTTTTTTATAATTACTCTAATAGTCTACAGTTTAAAATAAAATAAAATTAAAATAGAATACTTTAAACAAGAATAATAATATTTATTAATTATTATAGTATATCTTATAATTCTTTTAAAAAAAATTTAACAATAATAAAAAATTTTGATTTCAAGATACAATGAAATCAACCATAATTATCCAAGAAAATTATGTAGTAATAGTATTTCTTTTTTAAAATCTTTTAATAATTAAAAAACTTAAAATTAGAGATATAATAAAATATTTTAAATAAAAAATAAATAATTTAAACTAAATATTAAATTATATTTATATTATATGTTTTCTAATTAAGCTTAACACAAGAGAGTTTTTTTATAATTACTTGTATAATCAAAATAAAATTAAATCAAAATAGAAAACATTAAATGAGAATAATAATTATTTTTTAAAAACTTTCTAATAATAATAAATTTTTTCAATTAAATGTGCAATGAAATAAAAAATAATTATTCAAAAAAGTTATGGAGTAACATTATTTTTAAAAAAAAATTCTAACAATAAAAACATCTTAAAACTAGAGATACAATAAAATATGTTAAATAAAAAATAATAAATAATTTGAACTAAATATTAAATTATATTTTATATTATATGCTTTTTAATCAGGCTTAATATGAGAGAGTTTTTTTTTTCTATAATTATTATAAAAATGTATAATCATAAATAAAATTCAATTAAAATATAATACCTTAAACAAGAATAATAATATTTACTAATTATTATAGTATATTCCTTTGATGACTATATTTGTATATTTTATTATAAAATATTGATCACACCCACACTAATAGCACCCATAATGATTAAAAATAATAAAAATATTTAATTTTATAATATCTAAATATTTTATCTTAATTGTAATATTGTAATCTTTCTATAATTTTATGGAGTATTTGAATATTTTTTCTATAATTACACTATTAGCACATAATAAAAAATAAAATTAAATAAAAATAAAATATCTTAAACAAGAATAATAATATTTACTACATTTTAAAAATAATTGTCTATAATTTTAAAAATATTTCCTATAATCATTTCTAACTAAAAATTCAGTTTATACTGTTCATTATTAAAGGACTAGCATTCATTTGAATAGTGTGTTTGCACTTTGTAGATTCATAGTTTTTCAATAAATATAGGAAGTTTGCT